TTCAAATCTTAGTTTGAAAAATCCTTTAGCACACACATTAGAATCTAACTAATTACATCCCATAATAATAATTGCCATCAAATTAACCTGGAAAGTGCAGTTTAAAATATGTTTAATTAAATAAGCTATGATTGTTTAACACGACACTGACATTTCTTAGTTGTAAATGACAACATTGTTATGAAGTCAAAAACAAAAAAGAAAATTAACCAGTTGAAAGAGAAAGAAGAATATTCTAACTACCAAAATATTATACATGTGGTTTCAGTGATTGATTTTTATTTGAATCAGGAACTAATATGTTATCAATAAACTTTTTCTTGTGCGGAGAATATAAGCACATTGGAATGTGCAGTGAAAGTACAAAAGGTTTGATACAGGAAATAATGTAGGTTTGACCAGGTTTGACTCAGGAACAAAATTATTTTAAAAATTCTAAAAGTCCCTGGTGAGAGAAATTCTTTAAACATTTTGCTAAATCACCATACCTAAAATTAAATATCTATATAAATAAATTCGCTGCAAATTACCTTTACATTGGATTACTATACTATGATTCACTATGATTCACACTGCACCCATACTTGATATTATCAATTTAACAAAAGTAAATAATAAATGATTTCTCTGGTGGTTACATCATAATTAATAATGTAATGTAAATAATTACATTTCATTTGAATACATTTTGGCATAAAGAAATCTTAGAACTGGTTTGCATGATATAACACATAATACCCTCACAATACCCTCACTTTCTCCCTAAGTCCCAAAGCTAACTTTCAGGCTCAATTCAATCATAAAGGGCGACCATACCTTGGTGAGATTTTAGCGTTCTTCAAAACATGAAGTTGTCTGCTGGAAGTCTTCCGATCTTAAATCTTCCCAGTGCTTGTACTCAGACTGCACATTACTGTCCTTAAAAAAATATTCAATCCACAAAATCTATAAGTGGACAATGGTAAACATAAATAGATAGAAGTCTCTCTGAAAGTCAACAAAATCAGCAAAACACCATTTCAGAGCATGTCATAGTAACACTGTAAATAAATCAGGAGGTCAATGAGAGAACTGGCTGCCAGTTTGCGCAATTCATTGAGTTGAATTTGGCGCATTTTCACTCTCTACATTTCACTGTTGAACAACAGAATCACAGTTTTCCTCGTGTCCTGTAATTTAGGCCATTCAACACTTTTTGAAGAAGAATATTTTCCACTCGAATTCCTTCCCATTTCCCGAGTGCCATGTAATGAAGACATTCGAGTACTACAGGATTAATAAGGTAAGAAACCTTTTTTTGTGGAGTGAAGAGATTTGCTATTGCTAATTACCTTCAAATCGTTTGCTTAAAAATAATCTAATCCCAGTACCAGAGTTACTGTATTTTCTACTGTTATTATATTTTATTCTCAAACTGCAGATAATAACAACACCCTTTTTTACATGTTAGAATCCCCAAATAATTAAATATGATTCAATAGTTTTGCAAAACCTTGCATTTGAGAGGGCAGTTTTAATTTATAAATGGAAGCACCTTCCTGTCATTTTGGGAGTGAAGCACAACTGTACTTCCTGACAAATTCAAACCACATCACAAACTGTAAAGATTTTGATCAAAACCCTTTGTTCATTGGAAAACTTAAGCAGATCTTTTGTTGTCAGTTTTGTATCTCTTATGAGATGTGTATGTCTCAGCTGTTACTTTGAAAAATGTAATTACCGTTTGGAATTGCTTCAGGCTTGTTAATGAACATCAGTAAAAAATATGTGATGGTCATATACAGTATGAATTTTTATTTTAGACTGTCATGATGTTTATAAAGGAAGGTTTAATGTTTGTGATGTAAAGCCTATTAATGTGACGCATGTTTGTGAGCTTGTTTAAAGGACTGATGAGTCATCTTGTTTTTAGTGCTATCTCAAATAGGTGAGCAGCTGCCGGAGAATAAGGGGTGAATAAGGATACTCAAAACAGTACAGAATGTAAATATATTATATACCCTTTAGAACAATTAAAAACTATTATTATTATAAATATTATTCCTGATGTACTAATAAAATATATCAAACCTTCTGGCACTTCTGTGCTAACACATTTTATTTTATGCCATTCAATGGTATTACAGGGTAGAAAGCGCCCTCTGAAAGGCACTGATGCTCTTTAAGCTACTCAGAAACCAGGGAAACCAAGGCTGTCAAATTTGGTTGCTAAAAGGGAAAGATAATAGATACTGGTAGTATTTTGTTTCATAGATTAAACATATAGTACTGTGTGTACTTCTCTGCAATGTATTAAGTTTATTTTATTTACTTTACTTCACCTCTTAAAATCAAGGTCAGATGATCTTTATTCTATCTATTTAGTGTCTGACTCCAGAGACTAGGGACTAGGGCATACCTAACAGGACAGACATTTCAAGAAAGCCTCTATTAATAATCACAGCTTGTAGATTATACGGTTTCAACTTTTGTAATCACAGAAACGTTATAAATCGAAAAATGCTACCAAACCTGCAGAAAGGACAGAATTGACATGAGTCATGGATCAATCTGTCCTCTGGGCTCAAAAATAAGGAGGCAGGTACAAGAATAGGTTTTGGAATAAGCTACATCAATAATATTCTAAATAAGAGTCTGTAGGATGCTCTAAGAAATGGTTGGAACCGATTCTCAAATCAAGAAGCTACCAACCCCATCACACATCTTTTCTTGTGGTTTTATGAACTGAGAATTCCTGTGTAGGAATATACAGGGGGTTTTCCAAACGGGTAGGGTGCCAAATGGCTTCTATGGCTTCGTCTCATTCATGACTTTTTTTACCCTTCCCCTGCCCACAAAGCATAAGAGTAATAGACAGTACAAGTGCAATACATCACTGAGAGCGTGAGGAAAGCTAAACAACACCTGTTCCATGGGTCCTATTGAAGAGGTCAAGCTTTATCAAAATGGTAATCCCTCTAAAGATTCTTTCAAAGATCCAATTTGAAGTAACATCAGGAACCCTCGTCATGTTAGGTATAAAGAATTTTCTGAAAAATGGCCCTTGAATCAAGGTTAAAACATGAGAGTAGCGCAAAAAATAAAACAGAAAATCATACCAAGTACCAGGTCGCATAAAACTTCTTTAAAAAAAATTGTCTCGACAATGCAGACTCCCCATTTCCTTGAAGTCCATAGTTTTATATAGTACAAGGCCAGATTCTGACCTTGAAATTCTACATGACGATAAAAGAATTTTGCTGGACTCTTCCCAGAAAGACGTCCGGATATCAGGGAAGCAGGATGTACTTTTTCAGCTCAAATAAAGGAGAGAGATACAGTCTATAGTTATTAATTTAACATTGCCACTGCCTTCATTCAGTCTTCTGGCAAACATATTTTCTGGTAACCTTGGAAAACAGCAAAAACTATGTCTAAGGGTTTAGAAATACTGTAGATATAAAGCAAGTCCCATGTTTCTTGAATTCAAATATTTTATTGCCAAACTTAAGTGAATTATGAAACTAACAAACTGAAATAAACCTACTACAAATAGAATACCGTAACACAATTAAGAGACCAGCCTTTCTCTGCAGTGTCTGTGTTAATTTTCACAGCAACTGAAGAAACAGTAATATAGAAAATTAACTGGGTACTGTAGTACTGTACTATTTGATTGTAAATTTTCATGAGTGTTGAAAACATATTTACCTTGTTACAAACCAGGTTATTTTTCATAGTACTTAAACTGTATTTCCCATAGTCTACAATACCAATTTAATTATACTGGCATGTGTTGCCACTTTGTACCCTAATATCTCCTAAGATATCAGAGGCTAGCCAAAACCTGGACCTAGACATTAGTGGGACGAGAGACCTCCAAGGAAATACTGGTTGCTGCTGCAGGAGGAACTGGTGAGACCATTAGGTTTCAGTCTTCTGTCTGGACCAGGTAGTGGCAGCTTTTAAGTTTAAGATTTTTAACTTTAAAATTGTCTAGTTTTAAGATATCTGCAAGGAAGCCTCCAGCACTTTTCACTACTGTCATTGTGAATCTTCATGTGTTCAGAACCCCTGGATCCACCTTACTTAATGGGTGGTCTGTCATGTCACAACAATATATGATATTGAAGCCACTTTCCAATCAAATTGGAAACTTACATGCAATCTTACAGTTAATACTTAACCAAGACCACTTTAACATGGACTGTTGTTGTGAATAGGTGCTGTGTGGGCACTACTGAAATTGCAGTACATAAAGAAATATTTATCTTAATTTTTTAGTATGTGGAATTGGAAGTAGCATTATAGTGTCTGGTAATGAGATCACTTGATTATTTCAATTCAGTCACACATTACTCACTGTGAAGGAAATATTTTACCAGGAGGTTCCTTTCAAAGGCAGATCACACACAAACACTATACTGTAGTTCTAGTCATGAATTTGGCCAAACAATTGGATTAGCAATTGTGATGCAAAATTCACACATGGTAAAGTAATAACAATCCCAGATCAAAAGAAAGGACTCCAAAAACTCCTTTTGCATTGGTAGTTCTGTGCCCCAAAAATGAACATATAAATATCTTGGAAATAGTCACTGAGGAATGAGAAAACAGTTCTGTGTTAGTTAAGATCATAGTTAGCCTTAGAGAAGGCATTTCAAACTCCAGGAGGGCCCGGTGTATTCTTGATTTTGTTTCAACCTTAGTAGACAATTAAACAACTAACCTAAATATTTTCTAAAATAGATATATATATAGGATTTTTCATAAATGTTGATTAAACAAGAAATCCATATCCTAAAAGTCCAGTTGCCTCCTAATCACCCGAGCCTGTTTAGAAGTAGAAGAATTATGCAGCTAATTAATAATAGATAGCTAGAACCTGATTTGCCAGTCTGTGCTGTTATTAGTATGAAATGGTTATAAAGTCTTGCAGTCACCTGAGCAGAATTAATGGTCTAATGTTTCTGTGAGTATTAAATTGACACTAAAATCACAAACTACACATATACAGTAGCATCAAAGACATATGAATGGCAGGACAAAGAAATACTGGCATACTGTGCATTATAAGGGATGCAGTTAATTGTCATACTTGTACTTGTGTAGGACCTGAGTACCAGATCTGGTAAATTGCTTAGAAAAAAAAAAATAAGGCTCCATTTTGCCCCTTCTTACAAATGTGAAAATATAGCATATCCAGACATATAGAAAATAAGCTGTATCACACCTATTGAACATCTTTGCCCATGTTTACAGATTCAACATGCCACAGCTACCAGCCAAAAACATGATTATCCTGATGTTCGGCAAAGGTATGTCATTTTTCAATCACGATACGATGTGTACAGTACCAAACAGTAATGAAGCAACACATAGTAAATGCTATTACTTTACATTTACTTGAACCCATATGTATATACTGTAGTGTTATTTGCTGCATTACATGGTTGCAAAGATATTGTTCATAGAGGTGACTGCAAGTATTCATAACTATCCTGTATTTCCGATAGCAAGAAAACACAACAGGCCATTCACAAGAACATGCTGTTGACGACAGTGGATTGGAAGGAAATAATTAAAATTTCCTTTTTTATTCCAGTTATGAATCAAAACTTTGCTAATTGAAAATGCCATGTTGCTCGTGGAATTTCTTGTAGATTGAAACCCAATCTGTTCTGAGCTCTGGCCTGCTGATGGAAACTGCAACTCTGACTATATTATACTGTACTGCTACTACGTGTTAAAAAAGCTGGGTTATCCAAAGGAGGTGTGTGGGAGAAGAATTTCACTGTGGTCTTCTGGTAGATCGCTCTGCTTGAGAAGGTGCAGTAAGGGCCTTGGGGCTGGCCGACAGCATTCGCCGGGCATGGTTATACCCAGCTGTGAAGTCCTGGCTGAATTGCTCCTGGGAGTGATGGTGGCACAGGGAGGGCCAGGGGTGCCCATGGATCAGCCCCTCCAGCCTCTTTATGATCTCGTAGTCAGGGAGCGCCAGGGTGTTGACATTTAAGCCAACCATCTGGGACACCACTTCACGGAAATCCAGCAGCTGACACCAAGAACCAAGTGGGGAAAAATACAACCATGTTGCTTAATGGCAAAGACTTTTGTATCACTTAAATGTCGAATAAACAATCATTATCATAGAAGAACCTCTCTGTTTGTTCAATTAGATAGCTATCACACAAAAGACATTTTTGTTTATGCCGTTGATTAATGTTCAGCACTTGAATCCTTCTGACATTTTGCTGCATTTACTGATCAAACAGTAGTAAAACAAATAGAAATTGGTAATTTTCAGTCATCTGCAATACCTACAGATAGGTGACAGTATAACATATGGAAATACAGTACAACCTGCCTTTTTGTAACTGTATTAATAAATATATGCATTGTGAGACTATACTTCACAAAGAAAATTGTATCACTTTATTTTTATTCAGTGCTAATTAACTACATAGAAAGAGATTCTATAAATACATAGTAATTCAAAATGGTTTTGTGTTCTTAAGAAATTATCGGTAAAATACTCTATACCTCCTGAACTAATAGGGGTTACAGTTTTCAGTATGTCCCCTGATATTTAGTTAGAAATGTTTCCAACACATTTCAAAGACTATATTCTTAAATATTTATAAAACAAAACTGACATTGGATTATTGCAATGGAATATGCTGTTATTGAATGAAACTGTCCATGCAGGATTAAATTCATATATCATGGTGGTAACATCTACAGATGTGTGCTATTGCAAATTAATTTGAAATAATGCAACCAATGAGCAGATTATTATGTGCTCATTAAAACTGATGATATTTAATCTAGCCTTATTGTAACAGTTAGTTAAATCCACAGTCAACACCTATGCGGAAATTCCACCCATTTTGAATGGACAGTAAAACTCTATAATTCAGATTGCCATGAATTCATTTTCCCCCTTCTCTAATAAGTAGTACTGAAAAAGAGGGAAATATGGAAAACAATCTATTTAAATATAGATATAATATCTTTTAAGAATGAGTTTCTGACAGTTGTCTTCAGTGTTAGGTGGTATTTGACATTTTAAAACATGCGTAGAAAGAGATATATTGGTAAATGTCATCGAGGAAGCACTAGTCTCTCTTCATCTTTGGGGTCCCACTCTGTGTGTTTCATGGTGTTGATTTATTTGTGCTTTACCTGTCTCTCCCTCTTGGCAAGATCCTCCAGAGTGTGTTTGAGAGTCTTCAGCTCACTGGTGAGGCTCTCTAACAGGCTCTGGGCTCTCTGTTTCTCTTCTTTGGTGATATGTTCAGTGACGTCTAACTCAGATTTCATTGTGGTCAGCCTCTTCTCTGCCCGCAGTTTCACCTTCTCCAGCTTATCCAGGCTTTTGTTCAGCTCTTCAATTGTTTGATTCTGCTCCATGGTCTTAATCTTCAAAATTGAAAAAAAAAAAACAACAAAAACAAATATAATATCAGTCATTAAGAGATCATTTTCAATGACGTTCAAGGACATTCTGAAAATTTAAGAGAACACAATTTGGTTTTAATGTTGACATATTTATCCATACTAATTTGTCAAGCTATCAAAATCTTACTTCCATCACAACTGAGGCCGATGTAGGCCCTAACCAAAATTGTGTTTTTCCTAATATTACCTCTTATAAAATGATAAAGGTAACTCAAGACTAAAACTGACGGAGACATTTAAACTAGCCAAAAATGAGAATTTGAATTTAATGAATCATTACAGGGGCAGCACAATGGCACAGTGGTTAGCATTGCTACCACACAACGCTGGAGCCCTGGAATCAAGTTTGGGTCTGGGGTGCTATCTGTGTGGAGTTTGCATGTTTTCCCCATGTTTGTTTGGGTTTCCTCTAGGTGGTCAAGTTTCCTCCCACAGTCCAAAGACATGCTGGTACAGTATGTGCAGATGGCTTTTGGGAAAACTGCCTCTGGTGTGAGTGTGTGTATGTTGGTGGCTATGTGTCTTGCAAAGGACCGGCATCCTATCCAGGGTGTATCCTGCCCTGCACGTCTAGATTCCAAGCTCCGGCTCCCCCGTGACCCTGAACTGAATAAAAAGTGATGGATGGAATGATTCATTATGCATGAAGCCAAGTGTAACTCTATGACAATTACAATTAGCTGTCGCAGCATCACTAGATTTAAGAAATGGAAGCTGTACATGAAATTCCGAGATTTCAAGGATTTACCCTCGAGTACACCCACATTTTGGGGCATGTTAAAGGGTAAAACAAAAAAGAATCAAAAATTTAAAATAACGATTAAACAGAATTAAAGCAATAAAGATGGAGATTAAAAATGCAGACAAAAGAGAAAAGAAAACACTAATTAAAAGCCTGACTAAACAGGTAAGCCTTTAATATAGATTTAAAAAAGCACTGTAATCAAGAAAAGAGAGAATGCAGGCAAAGTTTCTGAGTTAAAAGTAAGAGACTTTACAGATGGCAGATTTATTTGTGCATTAAAACACAGTCCAGGATCAATCAAGAACCTTCTTGAAGACTTCTCACAGTAGGGTCTAATCTGAGGCAAGTGTTTCCAAGTTATAGTGTGTTTAATACATAGGACGCATCTCCAGCCCTCCCGTCACGATCTGAGGAGTCTGTTTCTCCACCTCAGACAGGGAGAATCCACTGCCTCACGTTCCCTACCTTGAGCTCATTGGTATAAGACAGCTGTGCTTTGAGCTCGGTGTTAGAGAGGCGGGTGTAGTCCAGCTCCTTCTGCAGCCGCTCGACCTTCTTCTGTAGTTTCCGGACCGTGAGATTGGCCTCGTCTCGCTCCACCGCCACCGCCGTGCGGCTCCTCTTCTCCTCCTCCAGTTGGGCGACCTTCTTCCGCAGCAGCTCCATGTGCAGCTCCCTGCTTTCCAGCCGCTCCTTCTGGCTCTTTAGCTGAACAGGGAACAGAGCAGCAATGTCACAAAGCTGCAGCGCAAGGGACCGCCAGCAGAACATGCTGCTATTGCCATTAGGGTGGAGTGGTGGCTCTGTGCCTAAGGATCTGCACCTGTGGCTGGAAGGTTGCTGGTTCAAGTCCCGTAGCTGGCAGAGTATTCCTACTCTATTGGGCCCCTAAGGAAGGCCCTTAACCCCAACTGCTCCAGGGGTGCTGTACAATAGCTGACCCTGCATTCTGACCCCAGGCTCTCTGCCTATCTGTGTCTCATGGAGAGCACAATGGGGTATGTGAAAAGATTAATTCCTAATGCAAGAAATTGTATAGGGGTAATAAAGTGATGTTATGTTACATGGGAAGTAGTAGTATAAGACCTCCTACATAGGCCTGGGTACTGGTTTTGAAACTCTTTAACACTAAATTCCCATGTTTCTAGAATGACATCTGTGTCACTCATGATGCATTTCCCCAGCGCTCACACCCTGGAAGGTGCGATGGGGAGATATGCAGTTACTGTATATGCCAGGTATACCAGCAAAAATGGCATATAGGACTTTAAAATGAACTGTCAGAAACACAGCTGAGTACCTACTGTAGTTGATTAAGTGTAAACTGCTGTAGTGCAGCCCAGTAATACAGCTATGATCTTACCATTAGATGGATGTATGATGACTGTAATGGAATCTAGGTCTCATGCGCTAACTGCCATACTGTTTGATCTGTAGAAGTATGGTTGACTGGGTCTGAGTGAGACACAGGTTCCAGTTATTAAAACATCAGACTGAAGTGCTGATTGAACCTACCAAAAATGGTTTATAATCTGATTCCCAAACTACAGCACTTTCCTTATGCCTTTTTCATCAAGTTCAGTGTTTCAGAATTTAGATTCATAGTTATGTTTTTGCTACGTCCTATCTATATTAATTAAGTTGATTTTCCCTTAGAATTTTTAGACGGATATCTTTTTGTGGGTAGTAGTTTAATTCCGGCGAAAAGCCCAGAAATGCTTGTGTCAATTCACACAAACATTGACATGATTGAGTCACAGGAGATTAAAAAAGCAAAAGATGCCAGGAGTTTGAAAGTTGATTTAAATTCATCCATGCCTGGAAAATTTCCAACATGCTCTGATAATATGCTGAGCTTTTCTTTGATGAATGCTAAATCTAAATCTTTTGAAGTTAGTTTAATTAAGATCTGTCTGCAGCGAGAGAACCAGTCTGCGCCAATCCCTGCATTTAACATAACCTCAGTAATAAAGTCACAGTTCTGTGGAAGGATGCAGCTGCAGAATGTCGATGGTGAGTTGTAAGTGGGATTTGTAGTTGTAAGTAAGGGTACAGCCTGATTAACTACTCTATAACTACGACTCTGAAGCTATGAGCCACAACCTCTTCTTCTTCAGCAAATATGAATACACATCAATGGCAGCCCCTCCTCTACAACTCCCTTTTCTATCTTGAAACAGTTGTTGGAAAACAAATGTCCAATTGGATTTCCTGTACCTTCCTCTGTAAATTATGGACCAAAGTCTTATTTTCCAGTACAGCTGTTGCTTCCAGTTTGACAAGCTGCTCTGCCCGGGACAAGATGGCCTCCACTCTCATGTCGAAGCCCAGGTCTGTGGCTACTCTGTCCAGTTTCATCTTCTCGGAGAGCTCCTCCAGGAATCGCAAGTACTAGGAGGCAGGATTAACACAACCAAATGAGAAAATATCTTCCAATCCATTATTAGGAGCTAGTTATCCTAGTGAGTTATGTGGGAAGGCTTGCACAGAATCATAAGGCTTGCACAATGCAGGACCTGACAACTATCTACCTGGAGAGACACTTGGTACTTAAACTGAATTGCGAAATCTACTGAGTCAGGTTATAAAGCAATGCTCATGTACACACCACTCCTTGATTTAGGGAGAATGTTAAAATATTTTAAAGAGAGGGAAAAGTTAAGAAAGGACCACCAGGCATAAACATATACCAAGTGATATACATCTACTCAAAATTAATGTTACTATAGTGGAGGTTGAGACTTCTGTATCATGTGAGTAAAGAAAAGGAATAAAAAGGAATAAGAACAAGAGGCTTTGGCATAATCTAGATTTGAAAGATCAATGGAACTCTTTAATAGTGGCAGAATTTGAAAAGGGAATGAATCCATCTGTATCCTGGTTCCAAACACCATCTAGTGGCAAAAAAAAAGATAATCATGGCACTAGATGTAGTGAAGCTTCTTATATTGTAGATCATAGATGCAAAACTCCAGTCCTGGACAGCCTGAAGGTTTCTGCCTCTCTTTCGACGCTACCCACTAATTACCTACTTGAAAAAGTTGTTGCCTTTCCTTGTTCTTAAAAAGTTGAAGATATAAAGAGACCTTTAAATCTGCAGGAAAGTGGCCCTTGAGGACCAGAGCTGTGTTGTATGAGGTACTAGCGTTTGTACAGGCCTTTTTCCCTTAGCTCTACAATGTTTATGGATGATATAGGACAGTGACAGTACATCGATTATGTCCATTACTTACAGTTTGTTTTTGTTGGCTCAATCCATCACGAACTACGTCTCCAGACACAAGCTCTCCCTCTAGCCCCTTCAGCCTGTCCCTCAGCTCTCCCAGCTGCTGCTCAGCCTGCCTGGCCCTCTGCAGAGCAGCCTCGTGGAGCTCCGTCTGCCTCGCCAACTGCTCCGTCACCCGCGACGCCTTTGCTTCCATCTCCACCAGTGCCTGGAACACAGGTGCCCAGTCACCTCCCTCCACCACACAAGCGTGGCAAGAAATATGTCCCAGGTCTCACTCTGCTATTGGTTACTTTCCAGACAGGCACTTTAAGGGCAACAACTGACACCAACAGCAGCAATATCACCCTGCAGCTCACAACTGGCAACCCACTGAAGTTCCACAGGTGTGAGCCTGGTCAGTAGCTGGATGAGAGATGACCTGGGAAATCTGAGGTTGGTGCTGGAAGAGGTGTTGGTGGGACCATTAGGGACCACTCACCCTGCAGTCTATGTGTGTCCTAACGCTGCAGTATAGTGAGGGGTACACTATACTGTAAAAAGACTAGTAAAACCGAGGTTCTGACTCTCTGTGGTCATTACAAGTCCTAGGGTGTTTCTCAAAAATAGTAGGGGTGTTACATTGGTGATATAGCCAAATTTCACCCTGGCCTTTACCAATCATGGCCTCCTAATAATCCCCAACTATAAATTGGATTCATTACTCTGTTCTCCTTCCTTACTGATAGCTGATGTGTGGTGTGCGTACTGGCGCACTATGGCTGCCGTCTCATCATCCAGGTGGGACTGCACATTGGTGGTGGCGGAGGGGAGTCCCCATTGCTTGTGAAGTGCTTTGAGTTGAGTGTTTAGAATAAAGCTCTATATAAGTATAAGAATTATTAACTCTTGTTTGAAAGAGTACTAAGTCCTGGTTAACAAGCACACACGTCAGTTTCTTTAGTTTCTATACCAAAGACAGAGAAAAACACATCAGAGAAATTCGAAAGAAGCCAGGAACCTGAAGATCCAAAGGACCTGCTGGGTGCTCTAAAAAGTTGGAGAAAAAAATCTTAAATCAATTAGGAACAATGTCCGCTGTCTCTACGACGCAACCTTTAAGGCCTGCTTAGCAGCTGCACCTCTTTCTTGTTCTCTTCGATGCTGCAGATCTCCCGGATCCTCTCTCGGATGGCCTCCTCCGTGGGGTGCACAGTCCCACTGCGGCCGCTCAGCAGAGTGGCCAGGTCCTCCCTGAAGGCCTGAAGCAGGCCCTGCGCAGACTTGGTTTCGCTCAGGCTGTTGCGGAGGTTGCCGTTCAGTTCCTGAGAGTGCTTCTTCAAGCTGCTCAGCTCCTGCTTCGAAGCCTCCCAGGCACTTCTGGTAGCCTCCAGCCTTTCCTGAAGGAGCTGATTTTCTCTCTCCAGACTCGTCTTCGCTTGGATAGTACTGTCTAGCTCCTGGTTAACATGCACAAAAGTCCAGGATTTTCATTACAAGTACTTAATTTCTTGAAAAAATGTGACTCTTAAAATAGGCCTTTGTTAAGCTAAAAAGGAACAAGTAATAGGTTTATACCAAGCTGAAAAGAGAAGAAAGAAAACACAACATTTCGACGGTGGAGCTTTCTTTGGGTGTGAGGTCACACCCGAAGAAGGTGCCATAACAAAAACTCTGTGTTTTATTTCTTCTGTTTTCAGCATGGAATTAATCTATTACTTGTTCCTTTGCAGCCTACGCATGCTGATGCAGCTACCCACCCGAACTACAGTTGTTAAGCTAAATTCAGACTCATTTGAAAGTCAAACACAGTATTATATAGAGAATCACATGATAATGATTTATCATGTATCATCTGCTTTTAGCTGCTTAATCCAAACCTAATATTACACAAATCTGTCAGTAACTTTGTCTGTTAAATAACATTATCTAATTTAAATTGATTTACATCGCTGCACAATGATTCTACAATGATGCACCACAATTTTATAGCTAAGTTATATACAGTACTGTAATAACTGAAATTCAAAATACAGCAAAATGCAAAGGACAGATTGAGTGATGCAGGGTACAAAGAGATAAAATGAGTAAACAAAAAGAAAAAAATAATAACAATCATGGCCTATGAATTCAGATTAGAAATGTGAAATTCTAAAAAGAATTATAGAACGATCATGATGTGCACAGAGAGAACCATAAGGATGCAAATGGTTGTGCAAATGGATCTGCTTTTTGTTGGACTTGTCAACAATCAAGAAATTGTGCTCTACCGGTCGGAGTGTGTCCAGGTCCCTTCTGCAGGAGACAGCAGCTCTCTGCTCTCGGCTGACCTCTGACACCAGCCTCATCACTGTTTCTCGGCTGGCCTTGGACTCCACTTCATGGGCGCTCACACACTCCTTGAGGCTTGCAATCTGGCACCTCTGCCTGTCATTGTCCTTATACAGCTCATCAACCTGAATACATAAGGACCTGTGAGTCTACTTCAGAGGGAAAGCCAAAGAAAATGGCTAAACTAAACTCTTTGCTAAGGTTGTAAGAAAAAAACTAATTTGAATATGCAATAGTCAACACAACCTTTGCTGCTGCAGCACTGCTGTGTTCTGGAGAACATGGATTTGTAACAAATCCACCTATCCATTATTTGTTTTCACTTGGTAAGGGCTGCTACATACAGTACCAGAGCCTATCAACAGTACTGCAAGTACACAGTTGCTCTTCTCCTGGCTGGGACAACAGCCCACTGCTGGACAGTGGGGAAAGGAACCATTTAGACAGCAAGTCTTTAGAAGCAGGGAGGAAACCAGAGTTCTCAGTGAAATTCAACCTCAACATGCAAACTCCACACAGACGGGCGACAAAATCTGAAATCATATCTAAGAGGTATGAGGCACCAGTGTTAAGCAGCTTGCCGCTGGATCATGTCAAATACCAGGCTGTACAAATGGCTTGAGCTACTGAAACAAAGTTAAACTGAAATCTACTGTAAATAGAAACAGATTTTTGATCTTTGAAATAAATTGATGAACATAAGGACCAAATCACATACGAGTGGTGAGTTGTGTATTTACCAAGGAAACCATGACATCCTGTGGGTCCTCCTTCCCTGACCAGTCAATGTTCATTCTGCTGGCCAGCCTGGAGAGGAAGTCCTGGAGTTTCCTCTCACTGGAGGAGGCGTGATGCTTTGATTCATCCCATTCACTTATGTACATTCTGGTCACAGAGGTCACCAATCAGATTAATTGATCTTTGGTTTTGCTTATTTCTATCATAAAACTGAAATATCACAATAGAAGGATGGACAGATTTGTATGCATTTTAGGCTTGAAATAGCTAGTTCTGTCATGAAATTAAGAGATCCAGTGTTTGTTTTCACTCTGTATAATATGCATTTGCCTGCACTATTCATTAAAGGTTATCTTTGTTCAGTGAACGCTACTACTAAACCCATTAAAATGCAACACTGGGGAGTCTGCTAGTTCTGAGTGCTGCACTAAGTCTTAAACAAGATAGTCAACCTTACTGTAACTTGTCTTCCAGGTCCTGGACTTTCTGCTTCAGCTCATTGTTTTCCTTGATCAGTGCCTGGAAAGTAATCTCCAGACGTGTTTTGGACGAAGCCATCACCCCCGACTCCTGTTCCGTGGCCTGAACCTGCTCTCTCAGACTGCTGATCAGAGAGGCCTGTCTGGCATTGTTCTCCTTATACAAATCCAGCTCTCCCTTCAGCTCCTGAAGTGCCGCTTCTCTGGACGCCAGTCGAGATTTGATGTCTAAAAGCTGTCACAACCACAGTTTTTTTAACATTATTATTGCAAATCATTGTCTTCCTCTTTCAATAAAATGCCCCTTTTTGTGTGCCCCTTAGGTGACACAGTAGGCCTAGTGTCGGCTGGAGAACAGACTGCTCAGTGCTGTGAGTGTTCAACTGACATCAGATGTCACCGAAGTGTGCTAAACCAAGTATGCTCTGGTTAACCCTACTCTTCCAGTGAAGGTGAGGAGAGATAAATCATTTCCACCTCCTGATTCTCCATATAGCAATCATCAAGATCTAGTCTTGTTGTGTAAAAACAAATATATAGTATGTGACAACTACTGGCACACACATCACCACAATTCCAACACTGTCAGTGTGCAATGTAAGTGGTCTGTCTCGTTCTTTCAAACCCTCTATAGGATCATAGCTCTTTCATGCTGTGCCCCTCTTGGTCAAGGGTGCACTGAATCCCTCCTTCCAATATAATCTTACTTGGTTCTAATTGGTTCTATTCACTCAACTCACTAGATTTTATCACCAACTCTGTACACCCTGTCTTCATTAGTAACTAAGAACTGCACATGCTCATCACACTCAGTAGATTTTCCCATCAACTCTTCATTCTTTGTCTTCATTAATCACCAAGCACTGGAGTATTCAACCTGATTAACTCTGTGTCTCCGTTCTCAGTCTTTACTAGCACTAATCACTTTAACACAACCAGGCACTAGAGTATTCGAATAGGCTACGAATATGTCATTATGTCACTGAATTGTATTGTTCACTAAATCACTGCTTAAACTCAACTCTTTGTTCTTCCTCCTCACTGAACTGCAGGTCTTCTCTAACTCCTACTAACTCTTCTCTTCACTAATTAACCCAATCCTCCTTGGTCAGGGATACCTGTCTGTATTCATCTCTTGTGCACCTGACGTAGCAGCAACCACATTGTTTTCTCTCTCATCTCACACTCTCAGACCTCCCATCTGTCTGTTGATGGTAAGGACCAGGGAATGCTCAGGACTCACCTGTTCTGTCTACACTCTCAGCTGTGGGGAGCATGTACACTGCTAACTTGCCAAGTGCCAACCTCTCCAGTCAGACCTGGTTCAGCTGGCCAACCCTGTTCCTGTGATACACTTCAACCCTATTGAGTCTAACTAACAAGCTACTGTATAGCCCATCTCTCCAGCACCTGCAACAGAAAAAGCTGTATTTTCTCAAACCTCTCTCGCTCAGTGGTTTCTACTCCCAATCCCATCCCACTCCCATCCCACTCCCATCCTACGCTGGAGCCTAAATATAAACTGAAACCCTTTACCTTCTGGGTGTTCTTAAAAGCCTTTTAAGTAGCCCAGAGGAGTGGCTCTTTCCAAGCAGAGTTTATCCTGACAGCTCCATTCCCTCACGTGAAATTGCACTTCCTCTTAGTGCTAATTACTTATTCAAACCACCTCTGCCTCAATTTCCAATGAGCAAGCTGCCATCAGTGCTCAAGGCCACACCACTGGGCATTTTTCTGAGACAAGGTGATGGCTCTCTCATAAAGCCACCCACCTCTCACTGCTTCGCACGGTATTTACTTGGGTGTCACGTTTATCTATGAATCCGGTATAGTTGGTATGCAACAGAGGGCCCCCCTCCGTCATCTTCAGGGCTAACAGCTTACCTCTGCACAAGGATTAATAATAACAGATGACAAAAGTAACCTCAGTCTGAGTGCCCTCGTGTTTGATCTGCAAGGCTGCGAGGTCACTGCGAGCAGCCTCAGCGGTCAGGCGGTATTGGTTCAGGTGCTCCCTTGTGACGGACATGTCCATTAGGGGGTCCGATCCTGCCTGCGCATAGGAGTCAAGAGTGCTACTTAAAGCAGCTCCCTTCACTTCACAGATGAAAGGTCTTTAGTCCTTTCACACCACACCACACCACACCTCTGCTTCAAATCAAGGCCCATGTAAAAATAATTCATGTGGAAAAAGGATCAATGGTGCAGGCACGAATCAACGATAGACCATTAACGAAATGTATTTAAAAATTACAACATTTGTAGGGGGATTTCAAAGTTTTGAACTTGAGTGAGATTTGCTACTAATCTGCTAAAAGTAATCATAGAAGTGTGAAGACACCACCCTAGGAATAGACAATATATAGGGGGTAAAAACAAATAATATAATTATTTTCACTTTGAGCACAGAATTCTTGGAGTCTCTGCAAAAAGTGGACTAAACTTTGAGAGATTATAAAATAATTTCAACATTTTCCTGTTAATTTCTGTTGTGGAAAAGCTTGTGGCCTGGCCATTTTAAGTGCATTCAAATAGACCTAGTAATATTGTTTAAAGGCCTGGAAATAAACAGTCTATTTTTCCTCCACATAACAGTAACTTAAAAAAAAAATTACAATGTTTTAGATGTTCCGTGATGGAAACAAATAACAAAGTAATGAGCCTTTTCAGGATTCTTGGCAAATGATGCTTTTACTCATGCAAACAAGATTAGAACATACTGGAACACACAGACTGTTTTCAAAGCAAATATTAATGCCACACAAGACATTTGTATTAGATCAATCCTTCCAAAGAGTTTAACATGATCATATTTTATAAATATGATGTACAAAAATGATAATAATATATAGTTTAGAATGGGGAGTGACGTTTGCATTTTAATATGGAATTAACCCCATTTTGTTCCTAACAATAGAAATAATCAAAGTATAATAGAGGCCATTTCTAGGCATTTTGAAAAGGAATTATGACAGTTGTTTGTTTGTTTTTTAACCCAAAGCTACAGAAAGAAGCCTTCTTTTAAGAGAGTGTTTATAATGAGCTATACTAACTTCTCACTTCAATTTGAAATGTTCTTTAGTATTCTTACCTTCTGGGAATCAGGTCTACTTGCATATCTGAGAAGAAAAACACAATAAAACTTTTAAAAATAAGGTCATCTAGATACATAAACAGTACAGAACAAAATGTCATTACAAAAATCAATGTAAAGATTTCAAATACTGATAATTTTATAAGCTGTGCAATTAGAGTCAAATACTTTATAATGCCATTAAACACTGAATCTTGTCTAAAGTTTCTATGAAATATGTAACTTAACTACATACATGGTTAATCTGAATGACCAAAAACCGCTATAGCTGATTATCTGTGGGCCACAAAATCAAGTATTTTAAAGCAGATTTTTGTATCTGCAGCAAATTCTGCACACAATGCGATCATTGCTTCATCATGTGGCACACAGGCAGATTGCAGCCAACAAAAAAGAACAATCTACTTTTGGGATGTTTTTAAACTATTACTCTGTTCGTTTACACTAGTGCCTCATATCTGACATCTGATAAAGGCAGAACCATCTGGTGTGGGACAATTTTAATTTTATAGGATTTAGGAGATCCTTAATAAAAACCCTCACTCAATGTGCAAGAAACACCATGGGTACAGAATTTCAAAATGTGCAAAAATTGAATGTATAAAGTTTGGACTCTCCTGAAATAATTGCATAATCTTAAGGGAACAGATAAGAATAGACTAAATTCTTAGGTGTGATGTATATTTGCAAATTTGTATTGTAAAATGGAGATTGTGTAATGTCATTTGGACTTGAAATGGTTTCACCTGTTCTCTAAATTAAAAAAAAATGCAAAAGCCATCAATTGTGTGGACACATGCACCCACATCTCCCTATTGAATTATGCCCACACATCCAGTCAAAACTCATTGCACATGCACCTAAATGTGGCCATTTTCTCATATCTGGCAATACATCAGGCATAGGCACTGCATTCCAACCATTTTCTGAAGCAACAAGGATAGAAGCATTGAAGATACTACCCCCAGCACATCTAATTATGAGAACTAGGGATTTCATATTTTATAGAGGAATAAAACACTTTCTTTTTCTTTATTACACTCTCCACTCTATATTTACTAGTTTTTTCTAAGTTGTACTGTTTTGATGTTTACCATAATGCTATAAATCTGAATCACAGAAAAAGACTCTAATGTTTTATTGCTTTTAATTTACATCCTCTTTGCCATTACAAAGACACTGCTTTTCTGAGTTTCTTATGGTCAATACAAAGATTGTGATAATTCTGTCAAAGATCTACAGTATGTTATTACTATTGATTACATATCTAATGGAGCTACAGGACATTGTAGTACTTAATCCAATTTAATAAATTACCAAATGATATACCTGTCTGTTGTCAGAGTCAGGATTAGTTCTTCTTTTTCCTCCAGCTGTCTCTTTAAAGTGTTGAGTTGATCTTGAAGCTAGAGACAGATGAGAAAGTATTTTCGTTTAAATACTTTCTTTCAGCAATCAATGCCTACCAGGATGGTTGAGTTGTTAAGGTGTTGGACTTAAGATCCAATGGCTTAATGTCTGTGTGGGATGGAACCCCACTCCTGGTAGTATTTATATTAGGAATGTCCTACACTGACAGACTGAAGAAAATTAATCTTTTTTTTTTAATCTTGAACAGAGAAAACTGCGAGGGTACCTGATACAACATTCAAAATCCTCAAGAGCTTTGACAAAGTCAACTCAGTGGATTTTTTCAGAATGAACAGTGAAACATGAAATAGAGAGCACAAATGGAAACTACATGGAAGTGCATATAAAAGAGAGAACATAAAACCCTTCCTTACCCAAAGGGTTGTGGGAGTATGGAACAAATTACCCAGCCATTTTGTTGAAGCTGATACCGTAGCTTCTTTCAATAAACAACTGAATAAGATCTCTGGATCAATTAACTACTATCAAATGCTTAGTAGTAATTATCATTTTTAATAAGAAAGTTTAAATCAATTCATAAAAATTATGAACCTGTAAGAGAGCCTTAGAATACTCTTGTGCTTTATAAGGGGATTATTGCATAGTTAGACTATAGACAACTGTCAAATATATTATTAAAAAAGAAAAGACATTGTGTGTTTGCAACTGTGATTACAGATTGATTTATGCACCAAGAACTAAAGTGGAAAGAAAAGGTAATAGACTACTGTCAATTCCTGTAATAAAAAGCAATAATTTCCTTACAGAAAAGATCCCTAAGTACTGTATCTGTATTCATGTTTAAGGTTAAACCTAAATGACACAAAACACTCATTTACTGAAGGTGGCGTAGTATTATTAATAGAACAATAACTCACCTGGCCTATAAGTCTGTTATTTGCAGTCGGGGAAAACGAGCGAAAAGCATCATTTCGATTGACATCGATCAACCTTGAACCCGAATCTGACCTGTTCATGTTTTTTAAGAAAATATTACTTTAGTAAAGACACGAGGAGCTGTTTTTCGTGGAATAGTGGCGTTGTTTTTAAAAGAGATCGTACTCCAGCAATCAACTGCGTGAGTTAGGTGAAGTTTCTAAGCAACATGCAAACATGAAAGAGGTGGTGCATTTCACAGAGGGAGGAGTGGAGCTCTTTTCTTCTCCTGAGTCAGGAATGGGGAAAATTCATTGATTTATATTACGTTATACTCCTTCAACGCTACTAGAATAGATGGCTTGTAGAGTTTACTTTATTACACCACGATGTGGAGTGCTGTTGGAAAAATCATATTTAGATGTTCAATTAAATAACTCAAATTTGCGGCGTGTTTTGCTTTGGAGTTACTGTACCTCATACATACATATGCATGCATTTATTTGATAAGAATACCAAATATTAGTTTTAGGCACTATATCAAACCACTGAACGTCAATTAATTTTAATAATTGTAGCGCATATATTACATGATAATTACAGTACGTGGTTTAAGTGTCTTTTCACGTTGAAATACAACTCCACACAAAGGTGTTCATGTGTAAAACAAACTATCCATTGTGGCTAATGTAAATTGTAATTCGGGACGTATCCATAGTATCTACAGTCGCAGACATATGCATTCCACCTACAAGGCGTTCTGCTCCTAAACACCCCTCCCGTTTTGGACTGCTCTGCTTTCCTACCACCTTGACATTCACCGCGTCTGTTTCCTCCTACATCTTGTTACGTCTTGTTACGGGAGACTGCAGTCGCACTCTCTATTACACCTTCTCTCTTTCCCCTAGAGACTAGCACGCCCACTGTGAAGTACAGGGCTGTAAAACTCCTTTTGTTGGATCTGAATCTGGTCTCCAGGTCTACTCAGAAAATACTACCAAAGGACTGATTACTCTTCCTCCTGCACCCCATCGACAACATCTCCCCCTCTAGCGCCCTTGCTAATGAGCCTCTTGCCTCCAACATCCCCCCAGTGAACCCCGTACTTCAACATCATCGTAGGTGGAACCAGAGTCGACAGTTCCATGGCCACCCCCCAACATACACCCTCTGCACCTGCCATTGCCCCCCCGTTCTCCACCAGCGTCCTCAAATGCGAGACCATCACTCATCACTAGGGAAAGAGCAGACTGGAGCAATTAAGAGGTCAAAGTAAGTTGGGTTTTCTTTTCTTTCTGATGTCTTCTGTTTGGTTTTAATCGGAGCCCATCACATCAATAAAGTCAGCCCACTTTCCTGGACTTTTGTGTTCTACTGTATCAGTGTTTTACAGATGCAGATCCTCAACAGCTATACTGAGTATATCCTCCAGCAAATAATCACCTTGGCAGTAGAGGGTGCCAAGCAGTTACTTATATTTTAGTAATTACTTTATTTACATCTACACTTGCATTGATGTTAATACTAAATCCTAATGGTCATTCAGGGTTACTAGATGAACTTAGAAAAAGTCTCTACTTTCAAGTTTAATTCAGAGGTCTGTGTTAAATGTCATTAAATGACTAACTTTCTAACTTGCTTTCGGGAGTCACAGCTTCCCAAGGGAATGCAGTAGTCCTCTGGTCACTGCTTAAATCGTGCCTTCCTTAATGAACTCCAGATTTTCTAGTACAGAAATAATCAAATATGGCAACTAGGGTTTTGTAAGAGAATCGTGGGATGGAAAAAGCAGAATGCTGCTTAGATAAAAATTCACAGGATGCAGAGGGAACAATGAAATGAAACAGTTAATAGAACTAACGGAAGTTTTCTCTGGCTCAAAATTGTACACAGGAAATTCCCAGTTTCTGCCAAAACCTCAAATGCCTCAAAACCTAAAAAAAAAAGTAGTGTTTCAGAATTATCGATTACCTCCTAAGCTGTAGGCAATGAGTACTCATGCTCAATAAAAACAGCTTGCAAAGATTAAAGTGCTTTTATTATTGAGAAGAAAAATAGCTACCAGAGAGAACAGTCCCATCACTGACAAGTCTGACATTACAAACAACAGATGTGGAGGTATTTGAACTCCAGTGAAACCTGCACAATTAAAGCTTACAAAATGCAAATGGAATATTAGAGATCTGTAAACATAAATGCATGCATCAGTACATGCAAAAACCTGCAGAAATAAAAGGATTAGTTCATTATTTGAAGTCTGTAAACAAAATATGATGACATTTGCAGGATATGTGAACTGCAAGGTTCAAGGTATACAGCTATGTAGAAAAATGATAGAAAACTTTCACAGTAGCTCTCTTTCAGATGGCCATAAGGCTTTCGTCCAAAATATGACATTTTGTCTGAAAAACCATTACAAAATCACATGGTTCATGTGCAGGAATTTCCTTCAGGTCTTTCATGTAAACAATACTATTTTACTATTCATGTTCTAAGTGCATTGTACATTGCAATTCTGTAGTCCACCCAGATGATGTAAGTAGCTGATAACAATCATCATATAGGATGCAAGAGTGGCATGAACTGAATATGAAGGTTAACTGCTGTTCTGACCCATTTTTCTTGCAGTGGAAGCTCAAAGTACCCACCATGCCTTATATTGCCAGTTTCTCACAACCTGATAAATTTGAACATGCATGAAATTGACGGTAACAATTAACAATGGAACCTTTCAGATTTTTTTCACAGCAATTACAGTTTAAAATTTAAATTTATAACCTATTTGTCCGATACAGTCAATCATTTTTGGATACTTGTGTGTGCCGTTACGGAAGGTGCAAGCAATTATTCAAATATGTCTAAGGCATTTGAACTAGCTGCACAAGGATGTACCGATTAAACAGAATAAATCATATGACCTTGTGCATTACTGATAGCATGTAAAACACTGATTAATTGCATGGTAAAAATAGTTTAAATTGTTATGGTTTCCAATGGCCATATTAATAATAATAATCATAATAATAATAATAATAATTGCTTACACTTAAATAGCGCTTTCTGGACACTCCAGATATTACATATCTGACTGTTTTTTTTTAAACTTTTATTTACCCTAAATAGAGGAATAAACAAATGAACCCATTATTTCATGCTTTCAATATTCTACCATTCTGAGCAACCAGCCATGAATGGAGTTACCCCCTGTGAGGCCCACAGAACTGAATAATAGCATATTTTCCACTAGTCATCCAATCTGTGTCTGCAGCAGTCAAGTTCTCCCCCTGGCCGGCTTGCAGACCAACCTGCACGTCAGCTTTTAAAGTTCTCAAGCTGCACAGAGGAGCAGGGTGAAATCCCCTTAATGCAGTTTCAAATGGGACATCATAGTCCCACTTCCTGTCGCCTGTTAGTTTCCTATAGTTCAAATCCCCTTTGAAAACGATTAGGTCAGCTCTCTGCAGTTCGGCATATAGCTCTGGAGCATCTGCAGCCATGTCACAGAATTCGTGAGGCAGAGTCCAGAAAGGATGATCTTGGTAAGACCAGATGCCTTCCTTCAAGTAGCCTTGCCACCGAGCACCACACACAGACATCCACAAATGACTGGCTGATAACATCTGCCTTAGTGTCCATTCAAAATCCTTCTTTGTTGTGTCAGAGACGAACCATGGCATATACTTCCCGTGGAAGTGGATATCAGTGGCAAGGCCGGAGGCCACAAGGAAGTCAGCTAAGACCAGATCAGTGATGAGCTCGAAGCCAGCATTGTCCAAGACGAAGTCAACTCTTCTAGATGATCCTGCAGGCCTTCTGGTTAGCTTGTTGTTCAGCAAGGTAGTCCAAATCTTGGTGGACTCATCAACTAGGATGAAAGGTTTCAGACTTTCTAGAGAATCAATCGGACTGGACTTCTGTGAATTCTCTTGCCCAGCTGAAATTGAGAGGTCACATCTGTTACCCCATAGGCACACCTACAAATCAAAAAACATAATGATAATCGTCAGATGAATATTCTTAAGGACGCAGTTCCGGTAGAACTCTCTAATGATTAAGTCATAACTACACATATTACAGTATACAAATAATATTCATCAACCTAATAAAATACTATTTAACTATTTTTTCAGATTGTGACAGGATAACGTCTTGTCTCCTAAAACTTCAGCATTATGACACTCACAATCTGTTAAATCTTATATGCTTTATTAAGCAAGTGTGATAATAGCAACCCAATATTACAATATTCAGGCTCTGAAATTTGTATTAGTAAATGAACGACCGTTTCATTAGGTATTAACAATGCTGCACGGAACTCTAGACAAATTCTTTTTAAAGCCCAGTTGTATCAAGAGATTTAACAATTCCAACCTCACCAGAAATAATTATATTAAATTTAAACAGCATAATAAATAATTAAGAGGCAAATACTGTTCCTAAAACAATGCATTAGTTTTGCATTTAAGAACAAACCTACCTGTAGCAGTTTAATGAAGTGCTCTCTCAGCTGCTCCTCAGACAAATCTGTCAGGTCTTTATGCAGACCTTGGAGATATGTGCAGAGAATCAAACTAGCTTGTTGAGATTCAAAGAAGCTTTGAGTCTTTCCTTCCTCAAACACATCAAAATCACTAACTGGAGGACTGAAAAAAAAGTTATGTTAGTTTAGGTTAGCAACATCTGTTCACAAAAATGAAAATTGTCTACAATGATTTCAAAGTCTTAGAAAAAAGTTATTTTATAATTCCCACTGTTTAGGCAGCCTACATAACTTCTACTTATTCTGCTATATAGTCCAATTTTATGATAAATCCTCAAATTAATATGTTAATATTGACAAACATCCATTCGAATAGCAATAATGTGTATTTTGTATATGTACTGTATCTTGCTGTTTGGCCTTACCATAATAAAATGTTCTAAATAAATGCATTAATTTAAAACAATGAATCTGTTTCTTGGAATACAGATATATTTGGAAGACATTCTCTATTTTTAACAACATTTTAAGATGATTAGTACTTAAAAATATAATACAATATCAGCCTTATGGGTGGAAAAACTTAAATGCTTGATTTAAAACCTGAATAATTATATTAAAATAGCTATATATATAAGCCTGTTTCTGATACAAGTTAAATTACAAAGAAGCCATTACAACACCTATTCCTTTCTATGTATTATTTGCAAAAATTGAATAAATATGCACATTCTGTAGCAACACATAGCACACTTTGCTTAATGAATAGCCTAGGAAAACACTTAAAGGTGGGCAAATAAAAGTAATCCCCCAATGCAAAGATCTCAATGGATACTTAGATTAACTTTGGTTTTAATTTAAGTAATTTAGGCAAGCAGCCTTCATGTCCAATGTGTTTTATTCATCTGCCATTTTAGGCGCAAAGCAGGAATTTCAATCAATTTCATTTATCGAACCTTTAAGTAAAACTGCAAATTAACTGTAAGATTATAAACGATATTCATCTATACGTTATCAGTAACAGTAACACTTAAGTGTTGTGCTGTTCCCGAAGCATAATGTACAAAATCTGACTAGGCTACACACAACAGAAGTTTCCAATAAAATTCACTGACACTACAGGAAAGGGAAACATACTTAAGGCACCGTGCTTCCTGAATCCTCCGGTACATATAGCACTCTACATACAGCCAAGGGGACTTAAACCAACTTGGCGGCACATTGTCATCCAGCAACGACTGCTGTCTCTCCAGGTACTGGTTCCACATGTCCATGTCCACCAGTCCATCAGTCAGGGCTAGAATTGGCTTGTCCGTCTGCAGCTCATTTTTTAATTTGGACAGGAGGGAGATTGCCTTCTTTTCTGCCTCTAAACCCTCCTAAAACAGAAGTAATGGTGCATTAATAAATAAAAGTATTCCTCAACTACTTATCTGTTAAGAGCTTTCAAAATCCAGCACTAAACACAGTGCGAATTGCCATAATTATTGTTAACAAGATGACAAAAATCTGATGCCACAGTACAAAATGACCTTTACAGCTTTCACATCTTTCTTAATCTTTTAGCGGATTGACACAATATTCAACTTCTATGGTGAATATTAGTAAATTAATGCAGGTGATCTATGGTGATCCATAGAGTAACTGTTCACTCATAAGTATAAAAAACATAATCCTGAATAAATAAACCCTACTGCAATCATAAGAATTGAAGGGTCTACTAACTCACCTCCCCATGCTCTTCAAAAAACTTGTTTTTATACCGATGTATGGTGTCAATAACCTTGGTCAGAATTTTTGGCAACCTGTCCTTTACTGTCAAATACGCGAACGATCTGTATTAAAAACAGATAAATACTTTTGCATGAATTAACTGGACTTCTAGATTAATAAAAAGGTAGTGTGATAAGCCACGTGAGAGTGGTATAGTATCACTGTTACTTTAATTGTTATAAAGATACCATGCAATTGTTATCAGAATAACATTAATGACAAATTCATAAACAAATCCAATCTGGATCCTTAACTACTGAAAACACTGAATCGAAATTCTTAAACTATGAACGTACTGCGATGTTTAATTATAGGAAGATCAGAAACAGCTTTAGCAATCCAATTTCCTTTCACGATGTAATATATGCAACAAATATTGTGTTATTGTACATAACTTTACTCCAAACAAGCCTCTCAAAGCTCATTAAAAAAAATAAAAAACAGACACTTGTAGCTACACATAACAACATAGATTACATAACATACTTTAAGGTACGGTGACGGTATTAAAATATCCACAATTAAACATAGATTTTTGTATCATATTATTTTAAAGATGTGCATATTCTCTGACACCAAAACTATATTGCAACAAACCCCGTATACTTGGCTGAAAGGCAATCTGGAAACGTTCTGAGCGTGGCTTGCGCTGCCATCTTTACAACCAGGAAGTGTCAGGTTGAAATTCAAATTCAACTTTATTTATCATGATCACTATTGAGCAACCCGAAGAAATACTGGACGAGTTATGTAGTCTTCTTAAAAACTGGGAATGCAGCTCCGAAAGTATCTTCTAAAACGTTGTGTCAGCCAATCTTTTATATTACTTTGGGGAATTAACAGGTATTTTTCCCAAACAATGAAGTATTTATGTTAACTGTAAGTTAATTGTAAAGGTAATTTAAAATGAGAGGTTTTGAAATGTATGAATGAGCTCTTCACGTTTTCGAAGGATAGCATAGACCATAGTTGCAGCTTGAAATGTACTAAGAATTGCGTAGTAATAGCATTTATTCTGTTTTAGAAGCACTGGAATTGTGTGTGATTCAAGGTCAGAGTGGCTGGATGAGGTAATTCTTGTGAGAAAATGTGAAGGGGCCTCTCGCAGTGCTTACTTACATATAAATAATATGCATTGCTTTTTGGATTAAAAATATGTATCAACAAATGTATAATCGTTTCTGATAACAAAAAACTATCATTAATGTCATGATCACTATGACCGTAACATTATTTAGCGTGAAATCGATGTTCATACTCAACTGTTTTCTTTCCTGTAAATCATGTAATTCATATTCAGGTGAACTGATATTCGCTTGTTTTAAATATCGATCCCACTTGTTTTTGTTGACCGTGACGTTATTTCAATTTGATTCCCAGTTTATCACGTTACCTTGCGTTATGTGATTGCGATATGAAACAATGTAGACAGGCAGTGTTAGTAGCTACAGATATAACGTGAAGTATCCCGGAGAAATGAAAAGGTAACCCAGTGCTACAAGTTGTAGTACAACAGTTATATTTGATCTGTAACCACTGCACTTCGTTTTGTTAAAAGATATTGTGGTCAAGCACTATAGTACTACATTTCTATAGGTACTATAACACTAACATCAACAAGAACAGATCATCTAAGTGCTTCAATCAATTTCTTCCAGAATAGGTGGAGAAAAAGTTTGTGAACCATTTTACAATCATAGTCCTTTACAATGCTGCCTGATTTTTTTACGGACGGAATCGTACAATTCTTGTTCCCACGCTCTTCCCCTTCCGTGTAGGTAAACAATGGTTCTACGGCTCTCCGGAATTCTGCGGAGGCTCCAGCAGTTTCCTGAAAACAGGCATTTCAGTAGGTTCCTCTCGGCCAGCCGCACCGCAAATCTTTTCATTCGACGGCCGGAGAGTCGGCAAAGTCCCTTGAGCTTCAACAAGACACCCCTGAGTGAGGGAATTATTTTAAATTCTTTCAAGAAAAACAATAACCACAGTGGTTATTCCAGTATTTCCATTAACTGCAGTTTGCAATCAAGTAGTGCTTTTACTTATGGGAACCTCTTCGTTGGTGTTTCGAATACACGGGAAGCATTCCCTTTCCCCTTGGGAATGCAGAGGCGGATTCTGTCGACTACCGCCACCAGCCCTATAACAAAACAGGGAGGCCTGCCTGGAAAAAGGCCACCCAAGGGACCAAGGACCAAACAGCCATCCAGAACCAACCAGCCCCCACAGGAAGACAAGGTACCTGTCTCAGGCCCTGACATCTGACATTGACCTAGGCCTCAGAGAGGGAGGGAATTCAGTCCTCTGCAAAATGCATTGAATCCCAATCCATGAATGTTTGCAGTGCCATGTCAAAATACACTTTTTTTCCTCTCAAAGTGCACTGATTTATTTTGTTTTCATTCAAGTACTGAAAAATCACTCATAACTGTAATGGACTTTCTTATTTTGATTTCTGCACAGGGTGTGATGCAGTGCATTGCTTATGCAACAGCAGACCAGTATCACTTGCCGACATTGTGCCATGACTTGATATCCCATGGATATGCTGAAATTACAGACTTGCCGAGAGGTACGTTTTTAGAGCAATAGACATATTAGTCTTTTAGACCAAATTCCTGGAGTGACTGACAGTGCCTTGCTGTCAAAATTAATTGTACAACCATTTTGCTATTTTCCTCTATGTTTGGAGTGAAAGGTGTTCACATATTGAGTTAAAAATGGTGTTTTATGCAGATGAGATAATGTAAAAGATAAATATGTTTAATACATCATGCACAGTATCCACTGTATATTTCTTTTTTTTAAAGAGCAAGGTTCAAACTGTGCTTCCCTCTGATTCACAATTTTTAAAGGCTTTTACTGTGCATGTTTCTTGATACTGCTGTTGACACCTGTTTTAAATTCAAAGGTCTCAGTATAATTCAGTTCTGACATTAGCTGTTGCTTGGACAGTCTTACTTGTTGTAACTGAAAGTGTTTTTTAACACAGGTTTTAAAAATACTTTTAAATGTACATGTGATTTTTGTTTTAAATGTGTATCATCCTTGTTTTTGTCAACTCAGATACAATTCAGAATCGTTTGAAGGTTGTGTTTGTGTTACAAACATTCTTTTCCAATATCTGCTTCGTTTCATCAAAAAAGATAGAATGTTATAAAATCATAATGCTAAATCTGCCTGTCAGCAAGTCATGTAAATTAAAGTGATTATTTTATATGGAGTTAAAATGAGGATCATCTTAAAATCTTAGCATTCTGATACAGGGGGTTGTGCAGTAGAAGTTGCATTGCAAGCACTGTATGTTTTCATTGTATAACATTTATAGGGAAAAAATTACAGGCTTGTTTCTTTAATGTTCATTTTGTTGTGTATGTTTCTATCTCATCTTTCTTAATATTTATCCTAGATGCTGCAAATGTCCTAGTCGTTGGTACAGAAATGGCTTCAAAACCAAATGACCAAGCAATGATCTTTTTCTTCAGGTAAGTAGAACTTTTGCAAACAGATTTTCAAGGAGACATGCTTTCCTTTGCAACAGAAATGTTGCCTGATACAACTGAGAGAGAACTCCCTGCTACATTCTCTGTGGTAATCTGCTTGCCTGATCAGATAGGTGCACCCTACCTTCACTGTCATTAATGAATAAATGGTCAAAGAAAGCCAGGTTACAATTATTCAATGCATTGGTAAGATCTTATTTAGAATATTGTGTACAGCTTTGGTTGCATTGTTGTTTTAGTTCAAAGAAGCAGTCATTTGTATGGATGTTCCCCAGGACTGATATTGAAACTAAGACTTGAGGAAGCCAAGAAGATGTGCATTTAGGATTGAAATCATAAAGCATTTCTTTACTTCTTTCATGGGGGACTGGAACAAACTGCCCAGCTGTGTTAATGAAGCGGAATTTTTGTGTATTTTTTCTGGCACTCTTATGTTGTAATGAAGCCCTGCACTTCCATGGAATCCGTTGCTGACAATGAGTATATTTCTTCTGGCACAGGGAGGGCTCTGTCGTCTTCTGGAATGTGGAAGATAAGACGGTGTGTATGACGAGAAGCCTTGGAGACACCTGATTACTGATGCAATCGTTTTTGTTTATCAATTTTTTGTGAAGCTGATCAAAAGGCCACTTAAATATTGATAATTGTTGTTTACTTGATCCATTTTGTTCACTGGGATAATCAGTTTGGTTAAATCTGTTTTATTTTGAAAATGAATGGAACAATCCAGTCTACACAGAGGATAACATCATATTTTGTATAAAGACACTTGCATTTGTTTCTTATTAGAGAAACACTATTCCAGGTCTAAGAGCATACACCTTGAACATATGTCATTGAGTTTCATTTTTGTTCATAACAGTATAGAATTTGTTAAGTTGTCTTGTTTAACATTTGGTTTCATAACTTGCCTGCTTGGATTTTTAAGGCGCCACTGGATGTTTTGCAAGATTTTTAAGATTTAAATGTAATACTAAAGCAAAGTCAAACTATACATAGCTAAATTGTAAGTACTTCATTCTTGCTAGAAGACCACAGTCAATGTAGAATACTCTTTGATTGTTTATTTTGGTAGAGTCATCAGGGGGTTTCGTTTTTACCCTCACATGTGACTCCTGAAAACAGTAGTTCTTGTTTCCTAGATGAAACATGTTATGAGAATCCTGGAGAATCATGAGATCCAGCCATACGAAGTAGCACTAGTTCACTGGGAGAATGAAGAGATCAACTACACAATTGGGGAGTAGGTTTGAATATCTTCTTCTAATTCAATTAGACAAAGTAAACAAGTCTTTTTCTTCTTTTTTTTATATCAGTGTGCTATGTATAACGTTCAAGCTATACAGTCTTTTTATTTAAAAAATAAACCTTCACACATAAGAAGTATTTCCTATGTTTTCTGTGAATTAATGTCTTCACTTTAGAATATAGAATACACTGTATCTTAGTGTGGAGTTCAGGATCAATACTATGGAAAAATACTTTGTCTTGTATTTCAGGTAATAACTTATTCTGAGATCCTGAGAACCACTATTATTGCACACAGAAAGTGGCCACTCACCTTACTGTGTGAGATGTCACAGCAAAGGGAACTTTTCAATTTTTGTTTCATATTAATTCTGTTCGCTGTTTTCTTTTTGTTTTGGTGCTTTGAATTGTGTGGAGTTGGTTGTGTATATAACTAATATTTATTGCTTCTTCAAAGTGTCACAAATGATAGTTGCAAATGATTGCAAACTACTTTACAGTAACAAAATATGACAACTGTGAATACTTTTGCAAGTCACTGTAATAAATGTGTCCTTTTGCATTCGGACTGTAAAAAATCTGGAAAAGTATGTAGAAAATACTAGTACATGTTTTTACTTTTGTTTCAAAAAGTATTTGAAATTTCAGCTGGTACTGCCTCTAGCACATAAGCCTGCTAAAATGTGAACAAAATACACAATAACCTGTATTTTGTTTTATTTGCTTTTCAGTGGTACCAAATTCTCATAAGGGACTTCTTTATTGGCTTTTGTAGCAATGCATCTTGCACGTTTTAGAAGAAAATCCTAAGCTGTTTGAAAAATTTTTGAGAAGTGGTTCATTAGGTGCCACTTCAGATAAATAATTATTTTACCTTTAATCTGTTTAGTCTTCATCTAGACCTCTCTTATGAAGTACGTGTTGCTCAGTTTTCCTTCTGAAACTGACTCAATCAGTGTTTGATATAAAAAATCCTTTAAGGTAAAAGCATTCTTTTTCATATCTTGTGCTGTATATCGCTGTCCTTGTTTTTTCAGAGGAAGCTCAAAGTTGCATCATGGGAATATCTTGCTAAACTCAGAGCTAGATCTTGAACAAGTAGTTTTGGAAAAGTTTGCATTTTCCAATGCACTCTCATTATCAGGTAAGATAAACTCATTTGTTTTTCCAGTACTGGAATCTTGATTTCTTATTGCCCTTCTTTGCATTTAAGTGCATTTTCAACTTTCTCTAGTTGAAGGACCATTTTTTTTAACCTAATTAATGTGCAGCAGATCAAACATCTTGCCTACCCAGAAAATAAGGATCAAAGTTCCTTATTTGCTTTGTACATTGTTGTCATGTGCCAGTGGTTCCCAGCCCTGGGGCTGCAGGAACACTGTGTCTTCTGTTTTTTGCTCCAGATACGTTCTTAATCACAGGCTAATGGATTTCAGGTTTCTTTTTGAAGCACACTTGTATACACTTTCGTTTCTTAAAAGGTTAAATGGGATTTGTAATTGGCATCAACCTTAACCGGTCTCTGATTTCAGAACTGCCCTCATTCAGGTCTACTTTCTGAAATGTAAGTTATTCTGCAGAAGGAGAAATCACTCATTGTGGGAGCGTCCGATACCAGGTCATTCATACCTGTGTCTGTTCATCCTCAAATGATCAACTACTAAGAACTGTTTAGTCAGAAATAATGGCAAGGTTGCAGGGAGGCTCTGTTAAGTTCTGTGGGCTGATGTTGTTGGAAATGGTACTCTTGAAGTTGAGTTAAATAAAAGACTAAACAAGCAAGCTGATAAGTTAGGTCATCAGTTAACACTGGAGATGCAGAGCTCAGCTGGAATGAAAATGGACAGACAGAGTGTTCCCACAGGACCAGAGTTGGGAAACACTGTTATGTACAAGAAAAAAGCAGGAATGACTCCCGTCGCTGGGACATCTCAAGAGCTGTCATGAACCACAGTGAACCACCTAAAACACATCATCCATTCATTTTCTAACCGTTTTATCCAGTACATGGTCGCAGAGCAGCTGGAGCATAATCTGGCAAGCAATGGGCGCAAGGCAGGGTACACCTGGCTGGGATGCCAGTCCATTGCAGGACATGCACTCAGTCACACCAGGGCCAGTTTTCCCAGAAGCCAATTAACTTACCAGCAGTGGCACTGTGGCTAAGGATCTGCACCTGTGGCTGGAAGGTTGCCGGTTCAAATCCCGCGGCCGGCAGAGGAATCTTACTCCGTTGGGCCCTTAACCCCAGCTGCTCCACAGGTCCTATATAAATGGCTGAACCTGCGCTCTGACTCCAAGCTTCTCTCTCCCTGTCTGTGTGTCTCATGGAGAGCAAGCTGGGGTATGCGAAAAGACAAATTCCTAGTGCAAGAAATTGTATACGGCCAATAAAGTATGTGTTTGGACTGTGGAAAGAAAATGGAGATCTCAGAGAAAACCCACATGCAGATAGCCCCCCAAGATTTGCACTGCAAGCCCACAATGCTAACCACTGAACCACTGCACTACCCCTAAAACACATCACAATTGTTAAATTCAGATTTTTGCATGTTTTAAAGTTAATGTACTAAAAAAAACCATACCACTTTATGATTTTCAAAAAATGGTTTCACGTTCGTATTCTGGATCACTAGAAGAGCTACAGAGTATAGATGTGCATGAATTCCTATTAATCTTACAGTATCTGTAATATCTATAATATGTATGATATGCAGTGCATTTTTCTAGATTAAGCCAAGTAATGTATACTCTAGCATTTATTTTTTTGCAACAGTATTTGACAAGTAATGTGTTTTATTTATCTAGTCCTCTAACAGGATGAAATAGATGCTGGTTTTTTTTTTTAGGGAATTGGAATACGGCCTAATACGATTATCAAGTCTGATACTGTACATTAAACATCGTGAGCAAATCTCTGTTCTGTATTTTTCTTGGTGGCTTGATTATGCACACATCCTTCACACATCTTTTATAGATATTAAAGAAGTGATAGAACTTAAACTTACTGATTGTGTGTAGTTTGATTAACGCCACCTATTATTTAACACAGTTCAGTGTTTTTCTAGTACTATATATTAGGGGGTGAGTGCACAGAATTTCCACCTGGGGGCTCCATTTTCATCAGCTCAAGTCTGTTTTGCCTAATGGATTTGCTTGGAATTAGGCCTAACCCTAGGGGTGTTCAAATCTGTCGGTGTCCTTGGGTATCTCTTGTGGCTCAGTGGTACTGTTACCATGGAGATGCTAAGCCACTGTATCACAGAAATACAGAAACAGCTGCCCTAGAGGACATGAAAATTGGAAATGCATTCTTTAGATTTTGGGTGCTCTTAGCTGCTGCTTTTGAAGGGCTTGAAAATATTACGTTTAAAGCTGTGATAGCTTAATAACAATTTGTGCCTTTTGATATTCAACTTTTTCCTTCTTGACAGTCACAGTTTTTGATTTGATTAAAGAAATAATCATACTAGAAAGTGGCCATTTAGCTATTAATCTTGAATACCAAAAATTGAGTTGAAGTGGAAGCTGTGAAGTAATTCTAAGAATGTATTATAAAGCATGCACAAACTATGAAAGTGAGCTCATCAGAATAATTATCTGATTTAAGTATCTGCTTGTGCCTAAGTTTTTTTTTCTGTGTTTGTTTCAAGTAACTTATGTGATTTTACTTGTCTGTTGTTTACTACAGTAAAGTTGGCAATCTGGGAGGTATCTCTGGATAACTTTGTGGAATCTATTCAGTCAATTCCAGAGGTAAGATGGTGAAAACCCACACACATAAGAACATTAAAAAAGATTAATAAACACGAGGAAGCCATTTGCCCCATGTAGCTCATGTGCTTGCTAGCAATGATAGATCCAGTGATCTCATCCAGAATGTGGATAATGTCATAAATTCCTACGGGGATACAAGCATTCAGTGTTCTTTATTATAATGCTGAATTAAGCAGAATAACATAGAAGTGGATTCATTAGCTCATGGCATTCTCAAATAGTAAAGGAATTAATTCTTAGACACTGTGATTCACTGTGACTCACTGTTTTGACTCTGTGATTTAGACAGTGCAGGTTTGATCCGAGGTCACTTCAAAAGTGACAGGTGGCATTCTCCCAGTGGCAGCACAGCCAGAGGTAGGGTGGGGATTATCTGGTCAGGGCTCTGTCATCTCTCTGCAATGCAGTGACCCCTATAACTTCCTGAGTACATGCAGGCTTGTGAGGTGATACCTTTGAAGACACTGCAGATCTTAAATTGTGTCTAAAGATGAACAGCTCAGTGGTTTGGAATGTCAGAGGAATTCATCTGCACATCCTGATTCTCACTCTCTTCCAATACCAAGTGGGATGTTACTGAGAGCTAAGGTGTAAAGATAAAATTGATGACTCTATGGATCATTATATCATATAAAAGAACTGGCAATTCTAAATTTATGATTTGGGGGGCAGACAAAGCTGAAGCTATCCTTGTGCCAGCCTATCAGACTGAAAGAGCACCATGAAACACTACATATTGTCAGGTGTGTCTACTCCCAATTTGGTTTCCAGCTGGAGTCCTGGGAGGTCTGTCATGACTAAATTCACTTAACAAAGCTGGGTAGTACCCAGCACCCCTCCACAGTAAGCAATACATACCAGGGGCCTGATAATTTTTGAGTTGTCAGTTTACCCCATAATCTGGGAATGTGTTGGGAACCCCTTAATGTATGCAGTCATGTTTCCACTATTATAAAATAAAATATTCATGTTGTACTGCTTATTATCAACATTTTAACTGTAATAACTAGCACATTTTAACATAAAAATCACCACAGTCTATTCTTTAAATCTGCTTTGTGAACACAGTTTTTAAAATCGACACTTAAAAACATGCTGTTGTTCTAAAGAAAATGGGAATCAAGAAGTTTAAGGAGTTAAGTTAAGAAAAAGACTGGTGTTTATTTGGATACATCATTTTCATCTTCTAGATGCTGAATGGAAGGGAAATCATATTAAAAAATAAACAGAAAGCTGTGTTATGTAGTTAAAAGTATAGATCTTAAATCGAAAAAGTTTATGTTAGAAACATACGATACATTAGTAAGATTTTCTGTGTATATTTTGGTCATGGCAATACAATAAAAGATATTGCAGTTCTAGAATCATTCCAAAATTGAACAACCAAATGCAGTCCTAGGTTTAAAGGAGTATCCTACAATTTTTTTTTAGACCATGGCTTTTTAATTTTAAACAAAGAATACTATGAGGCAACCAAATTCAAGTAGTCAAAATCCTTAAAGGCACAGAAAGATAAATACAGTGTTCCACTTTAGAATCATTGAAAAATTTACCTGAAGAGCATAAGGGCAAACAACAGTACAGTAAATTTAAAATTGAGAACAGAAGGTATTTTTTACACAGAAGATTATAGAGGCCTAGAGTAAGCTACTAAGCCATGGTATTGAAGCTGATGCCCTGGCTTCTCCCCAAAAAAAGACAATGAGATGCTAGGATCAGTTATTTCCTAAATAACAAAATGAACTATTGTATATAGGCTGAGTGTCCCATTTCATTTGTAAACGTTTTTATTTCTGAAAGAAATCTTGCGTAACATTGAGCCTTGGGAGAAAAAAATTAAGAGTTTGCTGAATCCAGTTCTTTTGGTAATTTTTATTTGGTTTTGCTTTTTAAAAAAATATATTAACAAGCCAGTATGTTAATACAGCACTATTGCTTAGTGCCTATGATACTTTAGAGCCAGCACTACAGTGAAGGGATCCCAGTGAATCCAAAATGTTGCTTCAATTTTTTTTTCAGTTAGGCGAAAAATGATCACCATGGGAACCAGAACTGGTTGCTAGGTTCCAGCGCTCTCCTGCAGAGGTGGAAGGTTTCCCCAGCCGAGACGGGCTTCTGTAACCTAGGGCTAGACATTATTCCATGACTGTTACCCACTCCACTGAAGGAGGACAACTTCCCACACCAGCTTAAACAGTTTTATGTGTGGTTGGTGGTTCAAATCAAGAACATTGTGTTTCAAAAATATGTACTGTATTTATGTGCAATTGGTTGTATATTGAACTAATTATCAAAGTTTTTTGGAACAAAACATTTGGATATACTAGTTCTAGAGGATCTAAATGTGTCTGATTTTTGTTGTAAGAGGCTTCTAGCTAGAAATTTGATTTTGTTTGACAGGACCTTAACACACAAATGACAGGCGAATAGTCTATCAAATACTGTATATTTGCTTGATTTTCAAACTCATGTTAGAGAGTCCCTCTTTTTGGTTCTAGGAAAAAAATAATTAATTTCTTTGTGATTCTCTATGGGTTTGACACCGTACAGCAGGTGAACTCAGGGGGAGAAACACATTCTAAATACAGGGACAATACTTTGTCTTGTTTCCGTTATAAATTTTGAAACATCAGTTTGTTTTGTTATACCCACCCATTCTGGGAGTTTTGCATGTTGTGGCTCCCAGCTACAAACCCTGCAGCCGCACACAGGGGAGAATGAGAAAGTATAGGCAGACTCCACAGACACACCAACCATTAAACCACTCGTCTTTTGATACATCATAGGCTCCACAACCCTGTACCGGGGGTTCAGTGCATCGACAACACTCTGTGCCTTCATGGGGGAGGCCACAGTTGTTGCTGTTTCGTCGAGAGACAAAGGAACTCTAACTGACGAATCCCACCCTGCTCTTGGTGGGTTCAGCTGAGTGTGTGCTGCTTCTGGGAAAATCTGGGTCAGAGTCAGCCTGTGGCGTGACCCAAGCTCAAACCTGCGATCTCAGAGCTCAACCTGCACTCAGGTCTTTTACTGGTTGGGCCACATGGGAGACCCTGCAGGGACAATTTGAATGAAATTAGGCATCAGGTCAGAGAAAGAATGCTGCTCTTCTGTCAGCCCATTTACTGCTTTTACATTTATTTGCATACCTTTGTATGACCACACCAATGTAAGCCATTGAAATTCTAATGTAAATAGTAATTAAGTTGTTCTTTACATTGAGGATTGGTTTTAGGAACCATAGAAAAGGAAAGAAGACAGCAGCAGAATAAAACACAGGGTTTTAAATGGGATTGTTTTTATTCTTTTTTTTTAAGACACCAGCTCTCCAAAGTGAAATAGAAAATAAAGATGCAAAATCTGTCTCTAAATATTGTACTGCATTTGGTCTACAGCACAGCTAATAAGAAAGAGTAGGTACCATGAGGTCAAGACAGTAATTGTGCAAATACATTTCACCAGCTACCACATCATTTTGTGAAACTTGGGATTTCTGCAACCCTTAAAGTGTCTGAGACAGCAGAGTGAAAGTATCGCAGCTCTCCACTGAAGTGCTCATTATTGCAGGTACTTGAATTCACTACTCTCGAGGTGAATTTCTGTGCAGTGATCTGCTCTGTTGCACTTCAGTGATCCCGTGGTATGCCTCGTTTTACAGGGGATGTCCAGACTTAACTCTGGCTCTTTTTACGCCCTTAAATGAAACTGCTGTCTTTTGACACACAAGGATTCAGACGGTGCAGTCAAGTATATCTGTTGCACTAATTTTAAATAACTGCAATTCAACTTGGTGCTTACAAAAAATATTTAAAAGTATTGTAACTTGTAACATCGACAGTGTCAATAGCACCGTATCAAGTGATATTTAAAACTATATTTTTTTTATCACAGACCTCAGGTTTTCTGATAAAACTGTCTCACCGTGCTTGTTTTAACTGTCTCAAAAGAAATATGTCATTGCATATCTTTAGAACACGATAAAAGTTACAAATGATGGAAGGCCATTTGGTTCACTTGACCCATTTCCCACTTAGCAGCTTAGTGATCTAGGGATCTCTGCTGGCTGTTACTTAAAAGAAGCCCTGGTTTCGACTTCAACAACATGGCCAAGTAGCCTGTTCCACACTCCCACAACCTATTGCGTAAAATGCGCCCCCTGTTCGAATGCACTTTCACATGTTTCCACTTGTGTGCTCTGGCCCATGTCTTTCTGCTGCAGGGCAGTACATATATTCACAGTACACATGGTCAATTTCACTGTTTGTATTTGTATAAAAACAGATGTTGAAATCGGGAAAAAGGGTCAAACTTTCTCGGGCAGAAGTCATGCAAAAAATCGGAGAACTGTTTGCACTAAGGTAAAGCATTTTTATTGTCTTTAGATGACTGATGTTCGCTTGTGTTGCCAGTGTATTGTATACAATACAAGTGAAAAGTGTTATTTGTCCTGTTTTGCCATCTTTTATTTCTGAAATTGTTAGAATCCCTAATATACACACACATTTGCAATGAATATCTGAAATAAAAATTATTCTGTAGAGTTGACACCGGATTACAAAGTGACTTCAATTGACTGATTGGATGGACAGCCTTCTTAGAAACTAGACTAAATGCTTGAGAGATTACTCATCTTTTGAATAAATGGTTTTTATGTATTCCTTCCATTTATAATAAATACATCCACATGCCATTTTAAAGACTGTCATATCCTTCAGTTTTAAGTCACTCTGATTGAATGTTACAACCCACTTATGCTATTTTAAACTGCTTATTTGTGTAGCATTTCTATTCCTTTTATTGGAATAAGGAAATGCTCCTGTGAGTTCCCTTGGAAAGATTTGCAGTATGATAAAGTCACAGTAGTGCAGTGATAATAACACCTGGAACCTTCAACAAAGAACATGGTGTAACCAAGGCTAAGCTGCAAATTCAGTGGGCAATGTGCCATGTTAAATATGTGTTAAATATATGGCCCCTTTTTTAGCTTTTTGATGCCATATCAAATTCAGCATGCTAAAAGATTGACAGAATTGTGAGTGAAGATACAGTATCCTTGAAATATGACGCAAAGTGCATTATCGTTGACTAAATTGGAAAAGGACAGTTTCAGACTATTAAGTACTATTCTGCACCATGTGGGTACAGGAATGCATCTATGTTTGGTATCATATTTTGTTTGTTTTGGTTTGTAGGCACCGTATTAACCTGAGCTCTGATCTGCTTATCACCCCTGATTTCTACTGGGACCGAGAAAACCTTGAACAGCTCTATGACAAGACTTGTCAGTTCCTTAGCATCAACCGCAGAGTCAAGGTAGTGGAATGTGTATCACGTGAAGGAATTCTTTAGAACTTTAGTTCTTTAGAACTGTGACTTTGGCTTTGAAACGCACAGGGTAAACAGAATGCTACTGATGAAAACATACTTGTGGCAGAGTTTTCATATGGCTCGTTAAATCCCTTCCTTGCATTTTTAAAAATAATTTAGACCACATTTAAAATTATATCATTTCAAGCACACTACCAGAACAGCATATCACTGTTCATCACTGTTGTCTTTATATATTCTATAAACTGTGTAATAACAATTCCTTACACTTATGTAGCACTTTTCTACTCAAAGACTCCTCACCACCACCACCAATTTGCAGCACCCACCTGGATGATGCGACAGCAGCCGTAGTGCACCAGTACACTCGCCACATATTAACTGTCAGTGGGGAGGAGAACACAGTGATGAATTCAATTCATAGATGGGAATTATTAGGAGGCCATGATTGGTAAAGGCCAATGGGAAATCTGGCCAGGGTGCCAGGGTAAAATCTACCCCCTACTCTTTTCAAGCAAAGCCCTGGGATTTTCAATGCCCACAGAGAGACAGCGCCTTTTTATAGTACAGTGTCCCCATCACCTAAGTGGGGCATTAGAACCCACACAGACTACATGGTAAGCACCACTTGCTGGCTCCATTAACACCTCTTCCAGCAGCAACCTTAGTTTTTTCCAGGTCTCTCATCCAGGTACTGACCAGGCTCACACCTGCTTATCTTCAATGTGTTCCAAGATGTGAGGTTCAGGGTGATATGGCTGGGGTTTCATGTCTTCTAATTAAGTTGTATATCACTTGGTGGCTCCATGGCTCCTTCCACAGTGTATGTCTAAGAATGCAGTGCACTAAAAATACAGTAGCAAGGATGAAATATGCAGGTCTGTGGCTGGTAACATTTGTATTAGATTAAGTAATTCTATGTTTGTTTTATTTGATATTTTTAAAGAAAAGGACAAGAAGGATAATTCTTGATAAGAAAGGTGCCAAACTCAAATGTGATTGGAATTCAGCAGCATTTTCCCCTGATTCCAGTTATGCTTGAAATCAAACATATGAATGTCTTATAAACCCACTTGAGAGAGGTTATTTTTACCCTAATGATGATGTGTTGTTGCAATAGTAATCCTGAACAGTACAAGAGCAACTGCAGGCTCAGACACTGGGTGTCTGTGCTTGGCTGAGGAGCCAGTAGTGTGACACTCCCATCTGTGGGATTATGACTTCACACCTTTTAGTCAGACCTTCCAGAAAGGTTTTTAGGTAAAATAGTGCAACTGCAACTTTCTTGAGGTTAATTGTGTGTTCTGGAGCTGCAGGTGCCCGCCTGTGTGTTCTGTGAGATGTTCCTGCTTTGGCATGGTCTTAGTGAACAAGTGTTGTCAACAGTGATGTCTCCGTGTCGCTTCCAGGTGATGAACGAGAAGCTGCAGCACTGCACTGAGCTGACTGATCTCATGAGGAACCACCTGAGTGAGAAACACGGCCTGCGTCTGGAGTGGATGATCGTAATTCTGATCACGATTGAGGTGAGAGTTGCCAAAATGGGTATTAACAAATGATTGTGAAACAATATGTGGGCACCGTGTTCTGCTTTGTGATCATAGCCATAACAAATAAAACATCGAAGCACATTATACTGTAGTTTTCACAGACAAATAACTGTGTTAACCTGTCATTTTTCATTTATAGTTTCATGCCTAAATATACAACTAACACTGTAGGTATCAGGTTTTTGTTCATTTTCATCTTGCCTAGGAGCAATATTTCCTCACATTTTGCAGTTACCTCTGTTTGTCCTGAATCATGATTTCAGTGCATAGTTGTTTAGGGTTAGAATTCAGGTTTAACACAAATGTGATCTACAGCCTTGTGCAGCTGTACTTTAATGCTTCTACTTATTAAAAACACAACAAAATGAGTGTCATGATCCAGTGACAAGTTTTCTTATATAATTTCTTTCATTTGTTTTAGGTGATGTTTGAACTTGCCAGAGTGGTCTTCTGATTGGTAATGCTGTACTGTCACATGTTCTATACCTGAAATAAAATTATCAGTGTGAAATGATAGAAAGTAAACTGTGAACCAGTAAGATCGCATGGTTTTACATGTCAGTTACGTGTGCTTTACATTAAAGAGGAAAATTCTAAAAGTATGTCTTATTTAATTAATCTCTACAATTTTAGGCATTCTTGAAGGTTTTTCTTGAGAGATTTTAATGAACAAAGGAGACCTTAATTAGATCAAGCCACTACCTGTGCATTATGAAACTCAATCTTTTTCAAGATCATTACATTAAGAAAAACATTCATAACAATTTCAAAGTAATTGCCAGAAGGACAGTGTGTCAAAGAAATTCAGAATGTGTTGTTAACCTCCACTATGCCTAGATGATGATGATGATGATTATTGTTACACTTATGTAGCTTTTCTAGACACTCCACTTTACAGCTCTTTACAGGTAATTCCCCTCCACCACCAGGTACAGTCCCACCTTGATGATGCGACGCAGCCATAGTGCGCCAGAAGGCTCACCACACATCAGCTATCAGTGGGGAGGAGAACAGAGTGATGAAGCGAATTCATAGATGGGAATTGTTAGGAGGCCATGATTTGTAAAGGCCGGGGGTCAATTTGGCCAGGACACCGGAGTTACATCCTTACTCTTTTTGAGAAACATCATGGGATTTTTTATGATTACAAAATGTCAGGATCTTGGTTTTTACCTCTCATCCGAAGGACGGCGCCTGTTTACAGTATAGTGTCCCCGTCCATACTATACTGGAGCATTAGGACCCACACAGACCACAGGGTAAACCCCCCGTCCGGGCCCCACTAACACCTCGTCCAGCAGCAACCTTAGTTTTTCCCAGAAGGTCTCCCATCCAGGTACTGACCAGGCTCACACCTGCTGAGCTTCAGTGGGCTGCCAGTTGTAAGTTGCAAAGTGATACTGTATACCTGCTGCTAGGTAAAGAATGGGATCAATGTATCAGTTTGTGCCAGGAGTCTGGGAGCAGTCTTTAATGAAATGTCCATGGCCGTCTCGGCACAAATGAGGCAATACTCATGAACCCTGTAAAGAACCCTCTCGATTTGAAATTCCTTCCATGTTATTAATAAGTTTGGCTTTGTCTCCGTGCAAGAACTGATAAGCTGAGCACCACACACAAAACACATGGGATCTATTTAATATTATTATTGTTGTTGTTGTTCACAAAGTGCGTTTACACAATCGCAAACCACTAATGTCAGATGATTAGTGCACCCTAATAAGGCAAACGTTTTTCTGGTGAAAGATGGGTTACATGGAGCCCTCATGAGGGGATCTGTTCTGTGCACCTGTGTGTAATGCCAGTAATTACATCTCAATTCTTTCAGCTTCACCTTTGTCTTCTGTTACCCCCATTAGAAACTAACCCTGTCCTGTCTCAGACACGCAGTTGCCCCATGTACTTTCAGTTGTTCGCTACTGATGTGCATTTGCCCTTACATGAAACCTTCTAAACGTCTAAATCACATATTTTCATTTGCAGTCACTGGGGTTCGTTAACTACCTAATTTGTGCAGAAGCAGGAACAACTGCGCACATTATCTGCTAAGCAGAGCTAAAGCTGTCCTCCCATCTTTATATGCTGGTATTCAAACCCCACAGTGATGCATATGAGTGAAATATGCCAGGATATCCCCATGAAATCTGTGTAACAGCATGGATAACAGAAATAGCAGAATACAATTAAGTAGGTAAAAATAGCCATGGAAAATGTATATCACGGTAACATCAAGGTGGAGAAATGAAATATGTTTTTGCGAAGACTTTCAATTTCATTTCATACCTTTCTCTATTTTTTTGCCTTAATGGCTGTGGAGAAACTTCCACTACTTCCTGCTTCTTAATATATATTTGTTGATGTACCTTTTATACTTAAAGAGTGTTCAGCTGGTCTTGAATGTTCTATTTTCTCTTTGTTTTAATAAGCACTTTAATTCCATAACTCCTGTGGCCAATTTACCGGTCAGGTGACAGCCTCGCTAACACCACCTCTCAGTACAACAGCGCTCAGCCTTAATGAGATATGGAAGGAAGCTGGTGTGGAATGCTCCAGCAGCAACAGGGCACAGCACAGATTTTGGCAAATATCACATCATGATGCTGTAGCATCTCGGAAACTTGGTATGGGAATCATCAGCCATTTTTCTACCCTCTTGAGGCTGACTAATTCTGCAGGATAGTTACACTGTCGGGTCCAGGTTATAATGTTTGCTTTTGTCTTATCAAACAGCTGAGGACCCCTGGTCAATTCATGCTCTCCCCAGACACCTTCAGCACTTGGCCATCTGCCCCATGTGCTTTCAGCTATATGGACAGCTATATGCTGCTTTTGGAATCCCACCCATACTTTGCTAGTGACGTAGCCAATTTGGAAGCAGTGATGTCTAGACTATAGCTCTCGATGTGCACTTTGATTATGCATCCTTACTGGTTGAGCCACTGTCTTCCTCTCCTCTGTTGATGTTGGCACATAGCAGTAGACCAAGGGAAGACGATTGTGGTCAGAATGTGTTTTTTTTCTTAAATCCCCGCAAATCATTGGTCTGTTAAGTGATGAAGGAAATTCAGCGTTTTGGCTAATAGTACAGTAGCATCTAAAAGTAACATGTTCCTGGTGAGTGCTGGCAGAATGCAAGACAGCTTCCAGGGGTGGCTGTGGAGTTTGGATGAAGGTGAGATCAGTTAGTTTCATAGTAAAAAAACTACACTTGTCATCTATTGCTGTTGGTAGCCCACATGTCTACAAACAGCTCTGGAATCTTTGATGCACTCCTAAAGGTACTCCCTGACACTTACCTTTCTTCCTGATGAGATGATTGGGTCTTAATTTCTTCCAGCTAACAACCTCTTAATTAGGCTTAGATTGCACTTACATAGAATTTAAACTTTTTATATGTTGTAAATTGTCCTGGATAAGGGTGTAAGCAAATTATTAGTAATAACCTGGTGTTTTCCATTGATATTTGTTAAACAAATTGATTGCATTAGGCACAAAATGGAAATTCCTGTCCATTGTGGTTTTTGTATTTCACTATTTTCAATTTTGTGAAATTTTCGGCTTTATTAGTGGACATCACTGCCCTTGGTTTCTGCATGTCCTCTTTTTAGTTTGACTTAAGAAAAGGTGACTTGAAAGAGGTTAAGCAAAAGGGAGATTCTGATGTTTTTGGTGTTTGAATACAAAAGCAACTGTTGTTGAAGTTTAAAATTCTGTATAAAGCAACAATGCAAATGGCTTTACAGCATAAGAAGAATATAAGTTATAAATGAATCTTTATTTTCTTTATCTGTACCTTTCTGCAATGTATACTAATCTGCCTGATTTGATTTTCAAAATATGTGTTTCCTTTTAATAAGGTGTTCTACATTCTTTATCATTTCTAAACAGGGCCATAGCTTCGTATATCAAACCACTGTCCAGTGATGGTATTCATATTGATTAAGTCATTGCCCACTTCTCTACTGGATCTTCTGTGTAATGGAGCTGCTGGAATATAATGGCTGCTGTGCAACATCCAAATGGGTACTGCTCTTCAGGGTGGCTGAAGTGGGTCTCCTCTTATTTTTCAAGTGCTTAGGGATCGTTTGAGATGAAGAAGCACTATATAAATGGAAGGGATTGTTATTCACATTATGTGTCAAAGCAAAGTGGATTTACATTACTGTGGAGCAGGTATTGTAAAATATCAATGCACCACAGCCATTTTGTTCTTTGGTGCCAAGCTGCTGGCCTTCTGTATACAGAACTGGAAATTAACTCAGTAAATTAATTACAAATTAGTGCGTTTGGGAAAATGATGCTCTGCTGTCCAGCAAATTCTGTATTACAAACTGTGCATTTGTTCATCTTCTGCCCTAATCCATGTTTTTATTGTTTTCATTAATTGCATTGGGAATGCTGATGGGTTGTTTATGACATGTTAGATTTTCAGTAACTGGTTGGAAGGAAAAGACAAGGCAGAAGCGAAGTCTTCAAATCAAGATTTAATTAGAAGATTAATTTTTGCTATTTCCTGCTTACAAACCTGAAGGAGGCTTAACAACCAAAACATAGTGTTTTTTTCTTTCTGCTGTACAGTGTGGAATTAACCCTTACTTCTTGTTTTCCTGTTTTGAATGAGAATTTTTGTGTGTAAGCTTTTTGGGCGGAGCAGGGCCCCAGGGGAGTGAAAAGGTGGGGGCAGTGGAGTATCAAGTTCCACTGTTGATACAATGTGACAGAACCCTAAACCTGTGGCACTAAGAACAGTGCTGGGGTAGTGTGGCAAAAATAATGGAACTGGGGTTCCAGGCAGTGAACCGGCTGGAGTGAGAAATGGCAATGTATTATACCAGGACCACCATTGTGTTTGGACGACTGATTGCAAAGGGGAAAAAATGTTGCTGGTCAAGGTTTCTTCCATTCTTAGCTGTATTACAAAGTTGACTCAACCTCCCTAACACTCACTTATGTTTACTATTATTAAACAGCTTTAATCCATGATCTTATCCTCAGGAATGCTTTTCAATCTAAAGACAATAACCTGTAACATGAGAGTTGCAAGCACAAAATAGGTCGTTTTCATGTTTATTTTCCAGTAGTTTTGTATTTTACTGCAATTCTGTTAATACATCATCCGCAATGATCAACTATTATCTAGTGATTTTTTTATACCTTAGAATACACTTTCTGTGCAAAGGATAAATTATTCAACTTAAGAAAAAGTCACGTAATGGTATCCAAAATCATGAAACGTGCTTTATTAACTACACTTTATAGTAGATTATGCTACTGATGTAAATTAAGATATGATTCAGATGGAGAGGAAAAATCAAATTATAGAAGGGTTGCGCACCACTAGCACCGAAAATTACATGGATAGTGCAACAGTTTGCACGTTCCTATAACTGAATTGTGTATTCTTTAAAACGTAGTTACCGAAACCTGTTCTCAGTCCGATGTTGCCCATTTTTCCTAAATATTTCCTGGTAAAATGCATAATTTCATATTCATCCGAGTACACCAGCTGTCTGTACACAGTGATCGTATCGTGGAGCTATGACAGTTTCAGTACTGTGTTCAAGCTCATAAAAGAATACATTACCGCACCGCATCTAATAACGCCTCCTTCAGAACAAAACATGAAAGGATGGAATGAGTCTCCGATTAAACCTCTTAGATATTTAAGCGCTTGTCAATGAAAAGCTGTAGCAGCTCACGTGACACACTGGTAAAAAGTAAATTATGGTAACATAAATGAATTTCATTTTTATGTGTTTGTATAGTCTTATCATATATATGCACGTATATATTTATGATGCAAAGTTTTTTTTTAAGTATCTGGATTTCTATAACTAAACAGGGACAGCAGATCTTTCCAGGGTATTGTTGACCATAAAAAACAAGCTTTTTTAAAAAAAATACGAAGACTGTATAAATTTGTCTTTGCCATTTGGTTATTTATGTTAAAAATGCATCATTCTGTGTTTGCACAGACAAGGGGCAACGCGCAAGTTGTCAATTCTTTATCGTGGTGGCACTTTTTCAATACCGCTTTCGCAAGCACAGAACAATTAGCAAGATGTCCCGGGCAGTGGGCTTTACAAACTGCTCTTTTTTAAGTGCTTTGGAGACAGTCATGTGATTGTAACGTAACCCGACCGGAAAACACCGACCATCGCCGCCAATGCTGCGTTTTAGAGGAACAGAGCAGCTGCAAGCCCAACGGACAAGTCCCCGGTAACAAACAACAACAACACGACAAACTCCGCAGCTACAAAGGGAGCACAAAGGAAGGTAACGGCATTTTCCAATTCTCTGTCGTGCGAGGGTTTATACCGATCGATTTTTAAGACGATTTCGGTGCTTCAGTTACTTTTCAAGTTAAAAAAAGATTTCTCGGTGACCACCCCTTCCCCTTTTTTTTCCTTGTGTCCATTTCGTGAGGCTTCGTTCGCGTCTCGCTTCACATTGCAGTCAGACCTCTGCAAGAGCAGATGTGGGAGAGATCTGACCCTGCGTAGCTCGGTCGGCTCATTTTACGAGTTAAAACATTAAAATAATAGTCATCGAACCATGCGGTGCCCGGTCTGTGTCGGGGGGGGGGAGGGCAGGGGGGCGGCGAAAGCTTCTCGATAAGCGAAGGCGTTCGTGTTTAGTTTTGGGGGTTTATTTTTTGTTTGTGAGGAAAGCGCACTGCGGAAGTGGTTTGACTCTGCGGGAGATCTGTCCGGTCCACGTGTCCGCGTTATGGGCGGTGCTTAACCTACACACACAGCTCCCCAGCATGTTCACGCACTCGGGTTGCTTGTAGCTTGATTGCTGCTACTGCCAGCAGTGTTGTTATTAATTTTTTGTGAATCATTTATAGTATTTTACTGATCCAGCCACTCAGGAGAGACTAGGACTTGTGAGTGGGTAACTTATCATAGGAGCAGCCAATCCCCAATAAGTGTGCCCTTAAAGAGAAGATACTGTTCGCGCACCTCGTGTGTGAGGACAATCGCGAAGCTGAAGCGCTCGCATCACAGAAATGCAGGTGAATAACAGTATTAAAACGTTTCCTCACAAAACTAATGATGTTATTATACTGGAATGCCCTCCGACGCCTGCTGCAGGCAGCCCTTCTGCGCGCTTCGCTTGCTGGTGTAATTTGAAAAAAAAAAATGGTTTAAAAAAAGATTGACGTGAAGTGAATCACTTGAGGTCTTGTGGTGACACTAAAAGCCGATACCTTCCGTCCTGTAAACAGACTAGGTTTTGACCACGTATACTGATTAAATATACTTTGAATAAAATCAAATAAAAAATATTTCTGTGGTCTTAAAGAGAAATGTAGTAACTCGCTACACATTTTAGTGTTTTCTCAAAGGTCGTTTTCGCGTAGCAAGGTAAAATAAGCTCAACAAAACGCAAGTGGAATCGATTTGTTGTTTATGTCTAGAAATGCGCATGCATGCGATTGTATTAAATTGTAGTATCTTTTTGCTAATGTTATGAAGAGTCCTGGAGACAAAAAAACTACTACAGTGTGATTCTAAACTGTAAATGCCGGTTTAGAACAGGACCGTTAAACCTCTTCTGAAAGAGGATGACCGATGTTTTTTTTGTAATTGAGGCTACATTTCTTTCTCCATGCAGGCAGTGTTAAGCGCGGTTACCTCATATCCCTTGCATTTGAGAAATCTAGTCAGAAAAAGGAGGATAAAGCAAATGAGAAAAAAAATCATTTAGACATATCTTATTCCTCAGCCCTTAGTAGATTGTTGTACTGCAGGCAAGGTCAGCTTCTTAATTTTTTTAAAGTACTTAAAAAGGGTTACACACAAAGGACCGCATTTGGCCAATTTTGCAGGTGTCATCATACAGATAAGAACTGGGCCAAAGAGGTTCATTGACGTGCACTTCAGCAAGCATTCGTTTGTGACTCATACAACATACAGAAACAACTTGTTAACATGACTGGCTCAGACCGAGCATTTCACTCTTGAGCTAATGCATCCAAGGAGCTCATTAGGTTGAAAGAATCAATGGTTTCAGCTTCTGTGTGGCTGGGCAGTCTGGTCCAGACAACAATCCATTTTTGCACAAAGAAGTGCTTCCGAATCTCGGGCCGGATGTTTGCTCAACATTTTTTTTCCCCAACTAGGTTTTTTAAAACAAAATTTTATACAAAACAGACAAGCTGTTGAAGTAACATGAAGCTAGAGCATGCAAAAGTACAAAGTCCTGGGAGGCACTGCTCTGTGTTGTTTCAGACATATCACAAAAGGGTACCAAATGGTATAAAGAATTGAAAATGCTTGCTGCAGCAATAAGAGAGAAGTTAGTTGAATGCTCTCTTTCAGTTTACAGCCTTTCCAAGTCATTCCTAGCATATATTTTTAATTGAATGCGAATTAAGTGGTTTCTTATGGTTTCAGACCTTTTTTGTATATATTATTTGGAATATGAAGATGTGAAAGCACAAAAAATGTTACATGTTTAATGCGTTCAATAGTTGTGTTGTGAAAATTGCTCAACTGATTTTGATTTATTGAACTACTGCTTTTTTGAAAGACTACCGCTATGACTCGGGGTACTTTCCCATTTCCCATGGTAAACACCATGCTAATATTCCATTATCATTTGGGGCGGCAGAAGATTAAAACACAGCGTGCTTACGAATGTACAGTAATTGTTGCCACTGGGTAGGCTGGGTGTAGGCTTCAAACCAAACCTTCATCTGTCTGATGGCAGAGCAGTTCGATTCCACCTTCTGGGCGGCTGAGCTGCCCTGTGTTCTGCTCTCTTGGGGATTTGCAAAGAATTTCCCACCAATTATTGAGTCGAGGGGTGAAGACATATGTGCTTAAAATAGGCCTGGTTGAGTTTTTAATTTTTCTCTGCAGCTGTTACTGACCTTTCACTTCTTTTGCCCATAAAATAGTTTCATTTCAGCGGTTGTGTTTGTGCTCAAAAGTTTCACGTGGGAAAAAAAGGTGGATCCATCATTTGTCATTTCATTTCATTTGTAATTTCATAGGTGGGGATGAAGATGTTTGTTAGGCAGTGTATGTGCCAGATGCTTGTCTAATCAGAAAGGCAGTAAACAGTTAATTTTGGCCTTCCTGTTGTCTTTGATGGTTTTAGTTAGTTCAGTTTTAAACTGTTTTGTATTTAAGTGTCTTAACAAGCAGGAAACTGTTTTCTTCTTGGCTTTTTGCGTAGGTTGAAGAATGGAGCTGGCCAACCATGGTCTTATCCTTCTGCAGCAGCTGAACGCTCAGAGGGAGTTTGGTTTCCTGTGTGATTGCACTGTGGCTATTGGTGATGTTTTCTTTAAAGCCCACAAAGCTGTTCTTGCAGCCTTTTCCAACTACTTCAGAATGCTTTTCATTCACCAGGACAGGTAATATACATTTTTTTTAAAGTGTTGTTTTTTTTAAAACGTCTGATGAAGTAACGACTTACTCCTCTATTTGAATAGAGGTCAGTGAGGTTGAATGTCGCTTTAAAATGGTCAAGCAGCTATAACAACTTTTTAATGCATTACTTTAAAAGACAGAAGGGTTAATCGGCCCTCCTCTGTTTTGATGGAGCGCAACTCGTCACTGTTGAGCTGATCTGTTTTCCTGTGTTTTCAGTGACTGTGTACGACTGAAGCCAGCAGACATTCAGCCCGATATCTTCAGCTACCTCCTGAATCTGATGTACACAGGAAAGCTGGCCCCCCAGCTCATTGACCCAGTCCGACTCGAGCAGGGCGTGAAGTTTCTGCATGCTTATCCACTGTTACAAGAGGCCAGTCTGGCAGGCCAGGCAGCTTTTCCGCCTCCGGAGCAAGTCATTCCCCTGGCTACTTCCTTGTACGGCATTCAGATTTCAGATCAACAGACTGGCCTTCCCAGCAGGCTCTCAGCGCGGAGGCAGCTGTCCTCTCCATTTGATCCAGAGCAGCTCTCGGATAATAAACGTATTAATAGCGCGGCGGGCCCTGAATCCAAACAAGCCCCGTCCCTGTCTGAGCCCGAGGTCTCTACCAGAGGGAACCCCTCCACCATGGAGGAGCAGAGCTTGGAAGCACCAAGCGTCAGCGAACACCCAGCTGCCAACACCATCCTGCACGTCAAGCCCAGCATTATGAAGAGGAACTCCTCCTTCCGCAAGCAGTACTCCTGCCACATGTGCGGGAGCCGTTTCAACCAGAGGAGCAACCTGCGGGAGCACCTGCTCCTCCACAGTCAGGGGCTGCTGCCCACCCCGGCTGCCCTAGCGGAGGCCAGCGTCTCCCCGATGCTGAGCAACGCTCTGCCGGAGCCGGCCAAGGAGGTGGAGGACACCCCGCGAGGAAGTGACATCATCAGCGATGGCGAGCTGCCGCTGGCCACGGATTCCCCCAGGATGGAGGGGCCGCAGTCTCAGGCCGAGACCCCTCCACCGTCGGACATTGCCGACATCGACAACCTGGAGAGCATGGACCTGGAGCGCGAGGTGAAGAGGCGGAAGTACGAGTGCTCTACGTGCGGCCGCAAGTTCATCCAGAAGAGCCACTGGCGAGAGCACATGTACATTCACACCGGGAAGCCGTACAAGTGCAGCGCCTGCGGCAAGAGCTTCTGCAGGGCCAATCAGGCGGCCCGGCATGTGTGTCTCAACCAGAGCGCCGAGTCGTACACCATGGTGGACAGGCAGAGCATGGAACTGTGCTCCAGCGAAGATAGCAGCCAAATAGAGGCCCTCTTCCTCTCTTCCAGCAGACCGTACAAATGTAACGTGTGCGAAATGACATTTGCCAGCCCCAACGAGGTCATGAAGCATTTGTGCTTTGCTCAGAACGCCCAGATGTTCTCTGGGTTGGAAAACCAAGCGCTGCAGAGTGAAGAGCTTCCGAAAGACGAGGGCTCAGACTCCTCCAATCCTGGACATTTAGTTACATCAATCAAAGCTGAGGAAATTTTAGTTGAATAATGGACGTTTGTTTTTATATGAACAATACCTTTTTTTTCTTCCTAATGGTGATGTTTTTAAATTAATTATGGTCAGTAGTTAAGCTATAAAAAATGGGGGATAAGCCAGGGAGTTTAAAGTTCTGTCCAACCAGTAAATTGAACTTGGAAGATCCAGATCCTTATAACTGGTTGTTTTAGACATTGCAAAATTATAGTACATCTCCCGCAGTGGGATTCAACATAGCGCATCCTCATTACACAAGTGCATTGTGACAAATGAGCTATATTAATGTGCATCTCAGCCTTTTTATCATAATATTTAATCAATGAAACATGGTGCAACAGGCTATGAGTATGACAGGCACAAATAAAATGTTTATCCAAACAAGCACAATTACACAGTTATTCCTCAACTGCTTTTCAAATTTTGTTTCTGTTGTACACATGCGCAGGAAGGGACACCTGAAGCGTAGTGTTTGCAAAGTTTAATGCAGCCACCCATTAGCTTCTATGGACCTCTCTTTCATTGACATATTTTAATGACTAGCTTTGTCCTGTACATGTAACATACCAGGTTTAAAATACCGGCATCATCCGGTCAAATTCTTACTGAAAAACTAGTCTTCCTCACCACTTCCAGGTGAAACCTCCTGCAGTCCAACCATTATTCTTGCAGATCTTGTTAATATGGTTCACAAATCGATAATATGCAACCATTAAAGAGCAAGTACCTGTCTTAGTACTTCATCTTTTCTCCATGTCAGCACCGGAAGATCATGCTTTTGTAACACTCATAGCTAACTTTGTGCCAGAAACAAAGTAGGTTTTATGGATGCTTAAATATTTTACTTTCAGAAGCAGACTTTGTCCCTGTTACTATGTAGGCGTTAGACATATGTTATACATTTTTTTCATTAAAGAACTATATTCTCTTTACGGTTTTAATACAATGTCCTTCACACCATGTTAATCAGAAGGGAAAAAAAAGCGTACAGAAGCCAAGCAAGACTTAAGAATAGGTTGTGGTTTGAGAACCTTGAACTGGAAGAGTGGAGTGCATTCACCCTTCGCTGACAGCAGCTGAGGGGGTATGTCATGTAGGGCTTCAGAATATGGTCATAAAAAGTAACTCTAGAAGATTTTTTTTTAAAAGATGAATTTGTTTAGTGCAATGTTACATGTGTGAAATGGAAACTTGTGTTGTGATTCATGCTGTGGAGTCTCATGCGGTCCATTACAGATACTGTACCTTTAAGAAACCCTTTTAATACGGTTGTAGAATCACTGATATAAAACACAAGAGAGCGTGTAACTGGTTTGGATCTGGTCTTGATTTACCTCGTCCGGTTGGATTTATATGCTTTGTTTTTAGCATCTTGTTTGCCTTAGCCCCCTCCCCACCCCCATCACACAGAGCAATTTCAGTTTGCTAGATCTGTAGGACTTGAAAGAACGTGTTATCTGCCTTGCAATCTCCTTGCTCGCTCGCTCTAGAGCACACTACCACTGGGCACTGGAAATGTGGCTGCAGCTTGAGGCTAGGGAGGGTACGGGATGGTGAGAGCTCAAAAGTCTAACTTTCACAGCTTCCTGCCTGTAAGGAGCCAGTAAGTCGGTTGTGCATTTCAGATTTTTTTTCTGTCTCTTTGCGTTTTACAAGCTGAGTATATGCCAAGCGAATAATGTTAGTCAATTCAGTTACTTCTTACCCTCACTGTAAATAAAATAGGATTTGTAGACCGCCAGCCTGAATACCATGAGGAAGTGTGAAGCTCCCATAGTGCCTTGCTTTCCACATCCTGGTCTGTTCCATGGCAACAGGGTCTGCTGTAAGTGTTTTTAAAGTAGAACTGGTCCGTATATTATTGATTGTGCTTTGTTTTGGTATAGCTGTAGAAATGTCACGAGGTGTATTCTTTCTCAAAAAGTACTGAACAGAAAATCCTCTTCTTGTGTCCGTAGTGACTGGTGCTTTTCTTTCAGCAGCAAATGTGCACAAAACCTATTATGCTGTAACAATGATGAACTTCTTGCCAATTTGTTGACCATAAGTTTGAACCTCTTTTTAAAGCCCTTATTTTTGTGTAGTAAACCTTTCTAATTTTATATACAATGCTATATTTACATAAAGTTTTATATTGCAAAAATGTATATTGCTTAAAGTAGGAGAAACTGTTCTTAGTGTATTTGTACATATTCATGTTTTTATTATTTTTTATTTTTTTTTAATAAGAAAAGGTCTTGAGGCCGTTGTCATGATGAACAAATATTTGTATTACGTTTTCTGCTGGTATTCATTTTGTTTCCCTTTTTGAAGTGTTGTGCATGGTTCTGCTGTTTCTGCTAATGTAAATGTATTGCTCTCCCACCTGTTGCAACCAGGACAATATATTTTTTACTTTGAAGATTCCATGAAATTGCTGATTGCAAGAAAAAAGTACAGTGAAATTAGATCAAGAAATCTGTAGGTAACTTTGTTTGGTAAAGGAGGAAAAGCCCTAAATGCTCATTTTCTTTGAATTTGATACAGATATATTTTGCTGTTCTGGTTAGGTTTCAAAATCGTATTCAAAGCAGAAGTAATAGCAGAATTACCTAATTACCTACCATAACACTAATATGGTATGAATCAAAACAGGGGAACAGGCAAAGGCAATGCAAGACATTCTTACAGTAACTGACGATTTTGTTCCCTCTAGTGGAATGCAGTGTAATGGCAATACAGAATCCATTTTCAGTTATTTAGTATTAACTTGAGGCATCATGGTAATAAGCTAAACCAGGAGTTGGCATTTCTAGTTCTAAAGATTTTCAATCCAGCACAACTCTCCACAATTTCATTAAACTGATTATTGGCGTAATTGGAGCAGTTTAACAGCTTTTCCCAGCTGCTGCTGATGAATCGCTTAAAATCTGTAGGAATACAGCGCTTGGGACTGAGTTTTGAAGTCATGCCATGAACAACAAAAAACTGGCATTCAGAGGTCGAAAATGGAACAACGCACTGACAAAAACACAGATTTATTAGCTGATGAAAGTGTATTGGAAGATGCTTAACTTTTTAGAAATAGGAATTTCTGTAGGTCTCTGGCTTACATGACGAAAATAATTGACAAACCTTATGTTGTGCTTTGATGTCAGATGTTACAGATTGGCCTGCTCCTTTTTTCATGTCCACAAGAAGCAGTTAATTTCTTTTAAACAAAGTGCCTTTCACTGGCTAAAATTAGAAGTGTTGTTTGATGTTACACAAATAGTGTGTACTGTAAAGGACGTTGTATAATTATTTGTGTTTTTCTTTCAGCAGTCTGGAAATTCATTGATTGATGTCTTGCAATATCTGTAATGTTTGCAACAACACATAACATCATGGTTTATGCTTCCAGTGATGGTGGTGGTGGTTTAATACACAGGTGTCGCCAGATGAAAGAAAACTCTTGACCACATAAATCCAAAGCAAATTGACGCAATTCGTACGACCTGTGTTCTCAGGAATTCATGGGCTCTCCTCCTGAAAGATTTGTGACATGATGAGCCTAAACTGAATTTTCACATACAAATCTAATAAAACATTTTGTGTAAAAAAGGCATGTTTTTCCTTTTCTCTTTCCATCACTGCCTTCAAATCTGTAGAGAGAAATATCGTGTGCACTGCATATAATTTCTGTTTATCTGTAGCAATAAAATTGTGCCTGGTTGCGATCTAGTATAAAGATGAGTAAGGAAAGTCGTGAATCAAAGACTTGATTCCGGCCGTTTCAGACTTCATACATTGTATTATGTGCATTATTGTGCTCCTCTTCTCCTAATGTACGGAGCCATGCTTGGTGTCCTTGGTACATTGTGGTTGGTATCTCATAGCTGTATGAATATTGCAGACCACATTTACAAAAACACTGCTGTTGTAAGAAATGTACATAGCCTCATATATTGAACATAGGTTAACGCTCTTGTATCTCAGTTTGGAGGTAACTATTCACTTACCCTTTAATCCTACAATGTGTGCTGTATGTTTACAAGCACCTGGCCACACTGACAAATAGAATCCCTTTAAGGCGTGGCAGAATAATTAAAAGAAGAAGTGTTGGAGACTGGTTAAAAATGTCACTTAAGTCTTTTGTAGTGTTCTTTACTGAAATTGTATAGTGTTCAGAATCTGGAGCCAGACCCATAGTCAGGGTATGCAGGAAGCTTGAGGTACCAGGGAGCTTACTGGCCATTGTCTGAAGTCAGTGCGTAAGGAAATGAACGCCTCTGACAATTTGTTTGACACTCCCATGTAAATTTAAGAAATTACTCTGTAATGCATGTAATCAGAAAGGTAGATGCACATGTGTAATGGGAAGCATTACAAATGCAGTACAGTTCCTTCCTTTACTTATTGTGTTATTAATATCTCACTGTATAGGAATGGGAAGCCTTTTGTTACTATTCTGTATTTTTGTGCTTTACATAAATCAAGGTCTCCCGGTTTTGGTCTTGTTGATTGCTGTTTCTCAAGATGTGTTCCAATTACTTTTTTCGCTGTTACCTTATCAATCTAGTTGAACTACTAATTTTCTTAATGGCGGTCATTTTCTACAGGTTTTAAGTTCCGTCTTCAATTTAATAGTTATGCTGAAACCTCGAAACATTTTAAGAGCTCAAAAAAATATCAGGTTTACAAAGACTGTGGTTAGTTCGAAACTCCCACCATAATAGGAAAGCTGTGCACAAAGTTTTCTCTTATGCAATACTGATAGTTTTCGATTTATTCAAGGAACGTCCTTTTGACTGGAAGAATATTAAATATTAAGATCTTCCAGCTGCTGGTCTGCTACTCATACAATATTTTTATGCTGGTGCGTGCTATATAGTTTATATTCCCTCCAGCTCCGTGAAGTGTGTATTACTGAACCAATTCGTCTTTATTTACAATTAATATATATGTTTGAGATTGAGCTAAACAAAAACTGAGCAATGTATGTGTGCATAAATCAAATTATAATATTATATATATAACTATATTGAATATATTAATAGTATATTATTATAGTAATATTACTTGATAAACTGCAAAACTGCCTTAATATATTACCTGATTCATTGCAAATTTTCAACACTTTAGTTTTTTACCTCCTGGATTAACAGCATTTGGCAACACATTCTCTCCACACGTTACCACTAAATGTCATCCTTGCATGCCTATTTTTGATGGCTCTCCTCTTTCTAGTTTTTCTCAATTTGATACTGCATGACTTAGTAAAATAGTATCACATTCGAAATCCACTACTTGTTTATTAGATCCCATTCCTGCAATTTTATTTCAATCCTGTTTTACTGCCCTTTGTCATCTTGTCCTCAATACAAGTGAGTCCTTGTGCACTGGAGTGGTATCAACAGCCTTCAAAATGGCTATAGTTACCCCTGGGCCCAAAAAAACAAATATGGCTCTGGACAACCTAAACAAGTTTTGCCCTATATCCACCAACTTTTTCTTGCAAAACATTTAGAACATGCTGTTGGAATAGCACTGAAACTGCCTTTGTTAAAGTTTCTAACGATAATCTTATGGTTCTCTATTCTTCTCCTTGACCTTGTTGCTTCTTTTGACAGTTTATCATGAGATCTTACTTTCTTGTCTTGAGACTGTCTTTGGAGTTTCTGACACAGCTCTTAAATTGTTCAGAAGCATTTTCATTTTGTATAAACTACCTTTGTTTCTAGCGATTGCCTTTTCTGAATATTCACTTGTATAATTCTAAAGAATTATTGTAATTGTGAAGATGGTAATTGCACTTGTTGGCTGCTGTGCAGTTATCAATGAACCCTTGATCTTCAGAGAAGTCCATTTTGCATGTATTTAAGTTTTAAAGTGGATCTCTATGGTGAGATCATATGCTGTGCTCATGACACATTTCATTCTGGATAGAATGAAATACCAATAAGACTGCTGTTATGTACACAGCCAAAATAAACAAAAGGCACAAAACAGGCCACAAAATATTTGTGAATAGTGAATATGCTTGATAGATAGTCATTTCCTCCAAAATCCTATTCAGGTTGTTAAAATAGGACTTTGCAATGGATTTGTAATTAGTGCAATAGCTTGCTTACAAAGCTAATGCAAAGTTTCAAATAATATTTCTGTGCATCTCATTGGCAGCACTTAACCAGAATAAATTTCACTGTAAGGACACAGTTCATGATGAACTGCAAATACTTGATTAATCATTCACAAGTCCAAATGATCAGCAATTCAGTGGTAAAATGAATACCCCTGTATTATGCCCCTGATCAAATTCTTATTAATGTGTGGCCACTATTTTAAAGCATTTTAGAATAATGTGGCTTTTTTGCATATTAGTCCCAGAATGCTAGAAAAAACTAGCAATGAGAGATTTCAACATTCTATGTCTATGTAAATGTTCAGTGACGCAAAATACTAATACTAATAAGTGTGGAATAAGAACATATTGTGTTTTGCTCAGTTAGACCACTTAGAATGAACAAAGCTCCATTCACTGCCAAAGGCATTTTTTAAAGCTAGCTTTATTTAAATGAAATTTAGACAAGAATTTGTAATCATATTATTAACAGCTTTTGGAACTATAAAAGGCAGAATTAAATTCATGCTACTGTTACAAGTTTCTTTTTCAGAAGTTGTTATTACAATATGATTTAAGGTACATAGGTATACAATTTGTACAAATGTTACGAAGTTCACATTCAGGTTGTGTTATAAAAAGCACAAGGAGACTAATGCATGTTACCAATCTCTGCAGCTGACAGAGGCTATCCAAACACGTTGTAAGCTCATGCCCAATTACTAACGCAGAGATGAGAGCTGCCCTCTTTTTTGTGTGCCATAGCAACATTTATTTTTTTACTTTCTTATTGTTACTCTTGGAATTGTGTCAAAAGAAATAACTGTCAAAGGTATCTTGCATAACTGGTTCTTCTTAATGGTTTGAGATTTAATATATAAACATATTTGGTAATATCACAGTGGCTCAGTGTTCTTCTGCACACAAAGTGTCGTCCAACACTTTCATTCCCACAGAGCTGTCGACACAAATCACACCTTACAAATCTGGCGTCATGTATACTTAAGTAGTACAATACAATGTGTACTGTCCATCTGGCATAATTGTAAATAAAGCTTAAAAAATGCTTAAAAATAACAGATTAAAATGATGGGTAAGGAAAGAGCCATAGTCAAATAATTTGCAATGATTCATACTCTTGTTCCTCCATCTCTTGTTTTTATACCACAGAAATTTAACAACCTATACCAGCTGTTACCAGGAGAGGGTACAATAGGACTACTTTTTTCTCTGTGGTGATGTGAAAGTGGAGTAAATGTTTAACTGCTTAAGAGATTTTTTAAACAACTTTAACACACAGCTCAGCAATAACATTCAATTTCCATACATAATTCTCATATTTTCTCAACCACAGTGATTGCCAGTGTGTAGTGTGGGAATAACGAGATCATATACACTACAGAAACCATCAGGGCTACATCTGCTCTCAGAAAAACACATTTTGGTCCTCTACACCTCGAACTCCAGTCTCTATTGAACAAATTAGCATTTGCATGTGTTGCATGTTTAGTCAGATATATTTGTACATGCTTTATAGTTGTTGGTAAGGAACTAGAGCTGTGTTTACAACAGGAAAATCAAGGCGATACAACTTTAAAAAGAATGTATATATATATATTTCCCCTCACATGAGCATAGGATTTAGATGCTTTTATCTTTTTTCATCTCTCAAAGACAGACATCAAAAAGCTTTTGGATTTTGCGATAGCTAGTTGAAGGTATTTTGCTCTGTTTCACAGTGGCAGGCAGTAACTTACTTTTAATTACTTATAGTCTATAGGAAACATTACAACATTAACAGCAGTAACTGAAATTGCAGTTGCAGCATAAACAATATACCCCACATTTCTTTTCTTTATCCCCGCTTCACATCTTAAATGTCTCAGTCACAATAAAATGTCAAGTCAAACACCTGTCAAGAAAGCAATGTTCAGAGACTTAACAGGATTTGAACCCATTCAAAACTAAACATTGGAAGCGTACCTGTACCATGCCATTGTAATCTCCCCAGTAGCCTGAAGTGACAGGACATTATAATGACAACTATTGTTCTGTGACCAAAACGTCATATAAATACAAAAAAGTGGCTGGAGGAAGCAGGACAGAGTGTGTGTGGGAGGGGGGAGTGAGTTTACATCTGATATAAATACAATATACAAGGACATACTCTCCAGTTCTGAGACACACAGGTTGAGTTCTTCCTAAAGGACAGTAAAAGGCCTCCCGGGACATAATACCGGTAGTGGAAGGTCATCAAGTCAGCACACAGACATCACATTAAGTACAAGCTCATCTGGGTAAAAGCATTGAAACTTGTTAGGTCAAAGCAGAGGAGAATTGTGGGTAAGCTCCTGGAGGCAGTCCAGGGTTGTCTTGGTGACAGGAACGATGCCACAGAAGAGTAGGTTGAGATGTCCTTCTGTCACTCGCTCTTGGTTCAGAGCGCACCCTTGTAATCGCAGGACACCTTAAGGTGTTCTTTTCCCCATTTTCAATTTTGTCTTCTCGGAACAGATTCCTTTCTTTCTGTATGAGCCTGTGAAGAAAACAAATATATTCAGGAGGGAAGAATAAGTAAAAAGTGTTTGTTGTATTAAAGCTAAGCTCTTTACAAACCATTTGTTCACCATTTTTGGGACCATCAAAGTAATAAAAAAGTTTAGCAAAAAAAAACAAAAAAAAGGTTTATTTGGACGTATTTTTATGTTTAAATACATAAGTACCCAGTTATGAGTTTTGATTATCATAATACCAAATACGTATTTAGCAACATAAAGTAATGTATGTGCATCCATTTTTAATCTAGAAAAATGCTAGTTCATGAAAGCATGAAGATTTAATCTAAATTCAAGATGATGAAAGCATCCTTTTACTATGTCTAAAAACAGTTTTCTTGTCTTAAAAGTTTAAGAATTGGGAGGTGACATCTTTGGTTAATATTAAAAATCCTTTGCACTGGCAGGATGATGAGAATTCTTGGAAAATGAGACATAATGCTGAATCATTCTTCCATTCATGAAGTGGTACCTCGGTTTAATCTAGTGCACCACAGACCCTGCTTTCAAGCATTCTTATTACAGTGTCGAAAAGTACTTGCCCACTGAGGTGTGGCCAGCATAGAGGACGTTAGACAGTAAACTGCTGCTGTCTTCCAGGGCTGCTGCAGTGCTGCATTATTGCTCATTAAACATTCAGCTGGGTTCCTCCCTCTCTGTCTACAAGCTGGTGCCAGATTCAGATGTTAAGCTGGCCTTTGGTGGACTCCCCAGAGAAATAAGTATGAATTAAGATCCACACTCATCATTTAAGAAGTTTACAGTAACAGCACTCAAGATAGGAGATATACTAGGACTTTATGGTTGATACATTCTTCTATCATTCTTAAAAATACAATCTTCCATTTTTGGGAGTACATACTTTTCATTTTTAATTATACAAACATTGGCTTTAAATATTTTGTTCATGTAAGCCTAGTACAACAAAATAAACCCCAGTTCATCAATATACTGTACTGTTCTCAGCATACTGCACCTCCTGATGTCTTTTAACACCTGTTCTTTTAACTTGCTTGACAACACATTACATGGTGTTTCTGTAAATAATTTGTGGTGAATCTGTCAGCAAAAGCTCATCTGCCCCAGCACCGGCTCCTTTTCGGCTCTACTGCTCAAAGCGGGCGAAAACTACTGCATTCTTGCTTTGAAATCGAAGGGCTCTCGGCAACTCAGGTTTCGGACAAAAGCTTTTTCATTTCCCAGCCAACAAATCCTCCTCATAAAAGTCGAGTGATGTTTAAAAGCGATATGGGAAGATTTGCCTGATTGGCTGATGAAAGTAGGCCGACAATAACAACTGCCCAAGATGTCAGTTAGCTCATTTCTCAAACCCTACTGTCGAGACCAGCCTTTTGAAATGGCTTCTGTTTGAAAAACAGACTAGATGTTTTGATATATTTTTATTCATTCTTTTGTTTCAAAGAACTGCATTATGAATATGCAACATATCACAAAAATAAAAAAAACTCTGGAAGGCCAGGTGTCCAAACTCTTTGTATGTTGTTTTTGAAGGACATAAATACAAAGGTTTAGAAATGCAATCATACATATCTTCACGTACATGTTAATCAAAAGTTTAAGCCATGCTTCCGATCAGTTGCTAGGAATAAAAATAGTACAAACCATAAAAAACTAAACTAAAAGTAGTAAATCTACATGAGCTATGCTACCTCATAGCTAATGTTGCTGAATAAACCAGCTGAATCAGATCACTTTTGATGTGGTTCCATGAACGTAATTTGGGCAATACCTGACTTTCAAATTAATTTTAAATGTTGGGTTCTGGCAGGGATTCTCTTCTCTGAATTTACAGCCAACTTTCTCTAAAATACATTTTTTAGATGACCCCTTATTTTTCTGAGGATTGAATTCAATATTTGCAGTTAAAAGCAAAAGTAAAATATCAGTGGGAGGAAGATTGCTTGAATGTGCTATATAAAGATAGCTTTTATGTTCACACAATAGAATACTTACTCCTTTCTCTTTTTTACAGCATTTTCAAATTAACTTCTAAGAAGAACATACCAGTTCATGAAGCTGCTGTATGCTCTGAAGACACCTGCTCTGTTTCCTTCTCAGCTTCCTGGGTTATTTCAGTTTCTAACTCCTCCTTTGGCTCATCCTGTTTGACTTCAGTCTTCTCACTCGTCTCTGCTTGGATCTGAACATCTTCTACAACATCCACTGTGCTCTGTTCACTCTCTGAAGACAGCATCTGATCTTGTACGACATCAGCCTTAGACACAGTCTCTCCATCTACCAGAACTGTTGACCGAGTCTCCTCTATAGCTTCTGTTGGGCTTTCTGTTACCTCCTTTGACACAGATTCTGTCTGAACACTTTCTAAAGTTGCCTTCTGACATATGTCATCTTCCCGTGCTGTCTCCAGGCTTTTTGCATCTTCTACTAAATCTTTCTGGGCCTGTAATTCTTCCTTGATTTCTGTCTGACATGACAAATCTTCAACTGCCGACACATCACATTGTAAGGTTTTTTGGCCCTGTGCATCTATACTTGCATCATGGCTTACACCACTTGTTGAATCCTTTTCAATTTGTTTATCCTTCACCACTGGTGGATCAATTTCTGTATCTTCTACCAGTTTCTCAGTTTTCACATCTGTTTTAGCAACATCCTGCTGCACGTCATCTTTCACTGGTAATTCTTCTGTTTTATTATCAACAGCCCCGGCTGTCTCAATTTGCACCTCTTCCACAATTTCTTTCTGGCTCTCTTCTGTTATGGCTTGATTCTGGATTGCCACAGCTTCCGTTTCATCTGTCTGGATTTGTGCATTTCCTGCCTGTTGTTTATAGCTTTCAGAGTCTACTACAGTTTCCTGTACATTTTCTGTTTCATTATCTATGCTCAGTTTGTCTTTCATTACTTGCTCTTGGCTTACTGTACTTTCTATTGGGCTCTGTAAATCCACTGCTTCTGCCGATTGGTTTTGAACATCAACAACTTCTGGTTTCTCTTGTAAGGCTTCTTTGTCTGTGTTCTCACTCTTTACATCAGGTTTTTTTTCTTGTTTTGGGATATCTTCCTTCATTTCTACCTGGCCTAGTGCATCTTTCACCATTGTTTCCTGACTTTGAACATCTGTGATGGATGTTTCATGTTGCACCTCTTCTGAAACTGGTTGCTGACTCTTTTCTTCTACTTTGTTGTCCTGACTAAAAGTAACATCCACCACTTCTTTCTGGCTTTTTGAAACCTTAGATACCTGTGTTTCAGTTTGGGCACCTTGTACATCTTCGTCAACTTCTTGTTGAGCCTTTCCATCTTCAAAGACTTTTTCTTGGGCTTCCTCTTCTCTCTTTACTTCCTCCTGCTTTTGTAAAATATCCTCACTTTCTGCCTTTCTCTGAGAATCTTCCTCCAGTAATGTCGGCATCTCAGCTTGCTCTTTCTCTTCCTGACACTCCACCTTCTCTGCAGTGCAGCTTTCTTTTTCCACAGACTTTGTCTGAATTGCTTCACATTCTGCATCTTCCTCTGTCTTGTGTTCTTTTACAACATCATTTTCTTCTTGACTACCATCTTCTAAGCACTCTACCTGCTCTGTCACTTCCTGGACAATCACTTCCTCTACTTCCTGTCTCATCACATTTCCTCCTTGGATCTCCACAACTTCTTCCTGCATTTTCACTTCTGTCTCCTGGCTTTTCATTTCTGCAATCTCCACTGTAATCTTTTCACTTTTAACTTCAGCATCAACATCCTGACACTTTTCTTCCAGCAGTGTGCTTTCTGTCTCTTTAGATTTTTGTATTTCTTCTGCACTACCAGCCGTCAAATGTTCTGTCTCTGGAATAGCTGATATCTGTAATTCCTCTGGCACTTCAACACCCTCTGATTTTTCATTGTCTTCCTCTGTTATTTCTTTTTTTGTAACGGCTGCTTGTTCAGCTGTTTCTGTTTTCTGTTCTCCTTCTCCATCTTTATCTTCAAATGCCTTTTCTCCAGAAATCTCTGAGTCTTCCTTAGCATTTGTTTCTGCTGTTGATTCAGAAACAAGTTCTGTTTCTGTTTCAACCAGAGTGTCTTCTGGTAATTTCTCATCTTCTGCTTCTGCTGGTGGTGCTTCAGTTTCTTCACAAACAGAAATGATTTCAGCAGCAGGCTGTGGCTCAGATATTTTTTCCAATTCTGTGATATCACTGGTAGATGATGACTCTTCCGTAGTGATTTGCTCTTTTTCCTTGTGGTCTCTGGCAACAGCGATATCGCATTGAGATTCACTCACCTTCTCTGTAAGGTTTTCAACAACATTTTGGATAATCTGCTGCACAATCATCGTGCTCTGCTTTTCAATAACAATTGTTTCAATCACACGTTCATGCATTTCCACCTGCTCACATGTTACATCTCCTGTTTCTCCTTGCTTTTCACAAACACCTGTCTCATCTTCATTGTCAGATTTCTCAGGAACACTAAAAAGTTGAGCTCCTAGTTCTGACTTTTCATCCTTCTCCTCAGCAAGGCTGCCAGTAACAGCTCCAATTGCTGCCTCAACCAGTAGAGTTGCAGCCTCATCAATTGTATGCTGATCCTGAAACGGGGTTTCCTGCTGATCTTTAAATTTGACTGAACTCACTCTTTCTCTTAAAACTAAATCTTCTGTTTTCACCTCTGCTACTTCAGATTTTATGGTTTTGCATGGGGGTTTAAGAATACCAACAGTCTCCTTAACCACTGGAGCTTCAATAGCAGGTGCTGATACAGCAAATGGAGCCTCCTTTGTCTCTGAGCTCTCGGAAGTTAGTGCTTCAGGCATTGAGGCAACTACTTCCTGTGCTGCACATTGAATAACATTTTCTACTGGTACTTGAAGGTCTGCAAGGTCCTTAACCTCTTTGAATTCTTGCACTCTTTCTTCTTCTATAACTGATGTTTCAGTTACCTCTACAGACGAAGCGCAGATAAG